TTATTGATTGCAATTTGAGGGACCTGCCTGCCAACCCAGGCCGAAATTCCAGAGAATTTAATTTGCTAGCACTGTATTCTACCCTGTAACGTTCTACGACACCCTAAAACCTGTACATGGGGGGTACTGTTTTACTCGGGAGACTTCGCTGAACACAAATATTAGTGATTCAAAACAGTAAAAACATATCACAGCGATGATATTGTCAGTGAAAGTTACTTTTGTTGCATTTTTCACTCACAAACAGCACTTTTACTGATGATATAATTGTTGTGACATGTTTTCCAGTTTTAAACACTAATATTTGCAATGTCCTCAGCAAATGTCCCCGAGTGTAAAACAGCATCCCATGTTGGTTTTTATAGCATTTTTGAAAGTTACGTCAAATATATAGTCCAAATATTTTCTTACACTGAAATGGCCAGGCTGGTTACCGCCAAGTTCCTTGAGAGCCGCATGTCCCAGGAATGAGAATTATCCTCCCATGACGCATTGCACCATTCAAAGAAGACAACCCATAGAAGAAAATCCAGTCTCTTTAGTAACCACTCTGGTCAAAACTGAAGGCTCATCCATAGTCTCTTTTACTCTTTCACAATAACAAACAAATATGAATGCTTACTTTATTGACTAAGTGGCTACTAAAAAGACTGACATACCCCATATTGAATACCCCTGGGTTGTCTACTTTAAAAAAAATATGTATATGTGGGCTGTTATTCAGAGATTTATGACAGATAATAGTGTTACAATGTCACTATTGATAAATTTTAAAAATGTATGTTTTGAAACCGCAATATCCTACTTGTACCTATAGCCCTATAACATGCAAAAAGCACGTAAACACTAGGTATTTTTAAACTCAGGACAAAATTTTGAATCTATTTAGCAGTTTTTTTCATTCGCTTTTGTAGATGAGTAAAAGATTTTTCAAGTAAAAGTCAAAAAACATGTATTTTTTTTCAATTTTTCATCAGATTTTTTTATTTTTTTAAATTAAAATACATGAGATTATATAAATAATGGTATGTAAAGAAAGCCCCTTTTGTCCTGAAAAAAACAATATATAATTTGTATGGGAACAGTAAATGAGAAAGCGGAAAATTACAGCCAAACACAAACACCACAAAAGTGTAAAAATATGCCTGGTCGCAAATGTACAACATCGCAAAAACAGTCCAGTCCTTAAGGGGTTAATGTAGTGGTTCTGGTGTCTATAGCCTGTCCCTGCAGGCCTTTTAATGTAAACACGGCGGCACTGCAGCACTGGCGTTAGTTAACATGGCAGATCATATGGGTGGGGCATTGTGATGTCACATGGGGGCGGCGGCAAACTTTACTTTTGCCTAGGGCTGGCAAAAATCCTTGCACCGGCCCTGCAGACACTGCATCCCTGTGGGCGGACTCGGGGGGGGGCAGCACTTTGGGCGGACTCGGGTGCAGGCACCGGGGGGCCCAGACCTTGAGCTGTGTCAGGGGTCCCAAAATTTCTGATGGCAGCCCTGCTTGGGGACACTGGGAGACATGGGGGCACTTGTGAATACATACATGGGGACACTGGGAGACATGGGGACACTGAGAGACATGGGGACACAGACATTTGGGGACACTGGGAGAAATGGGGACACTGAGACACAGGGGCACACAGACATGGGGACACAGACACTGGGAGACATGGGGACACTGAAACATTTGGGGACACTAAGACACTAGGGACATTGAGAGACTAGGGGACACTGGGAGACTAGGGGACACAGACATTTGGGGACACTGGGAGACATGGCGACACACATTGGGGAATTGGGGGCACTGGGAGACATGGGGACACCGAGGACACTGGCTGGGAGACATGGGGACACTGAGTCACTAGGGACACTGAGAGACATGGGAACACAGACACTGGGAGACTAGGTGAAACTGGGAGCCACTAGGGACACTGTTTGGGGAACATGGGGCCACTGAGGGACATGTCCCTAATGTCTCCATGTCCCAATGTCTCAGTGTCTCCCAATGACCCTATGTTTCACAGCGTCCCCATGTGTCTCAGCATCCCTATGTCTCACAGTGTCCCCTAGTGTCTCAGTGACCCTATGTTTTCCAGTGTCCACAAGTGTCTTAGTGTCCCCAGGTCTCCCAGTGTCCCCTAGTGTCTGTGTCCCCATGTGTCCCCTAGTGTCTCGGTGTCCCCAGCACTGGCGTTAGTTAACATGGCAGATCATATGGGTGGGGCATTATGATGTCACATGGGGGGCGGCGGCAAACTTTACTTTTGCCTAGGGCGGCAAAAATCCTTGCACCTGCCCTGCAGACACTGCATCCCTGTGGTGGACTCGGGGGGGCAGCACTTTGGGCGGACTTGGGTGCAGGCACCAGGGGGCCCAGACCTTGAGCTGTGTCAGGGGTCCCAAAATTTCTGATGGCAGCCCTGCTTGGGGACACTGGGAGACATGGGGGCGCTTGTGAATACAGACATGGGGACACTGGGAGACATGGGGACACAGACATTTGGGGACACTGGGAGAAATGGGGACACTGAGACACAGGGGCACACAGACATGGGGACACAGACACTGGGAGACATGGGGACACTGAAACATTTGGGGACACTAAGACACTAGGGACATTGAGAGACTAGGGCACACTGGGAGACTAGGGGACACTGGGAGACATGGGGACACTGAGACACTAGGGACACTTGTGGACATAGACATGGGGACACTGGGAGACATGGGGACACAGACATTTGGGGACACTGGGAGACATGGGGACACACACTGGGAGAATTGGGGACACTGGGAGACATGGGGACACCGAGGACACTGGCTGGGAGACATGGGAACACTGAGTCACTAGGGACACTGAGAGACATGGGAACACAGACACTGGGAGACTAGGGGAAACTGGGAGCCACTAGGGACACTGTTTGGGGAACATGGGGACACTGAGGGACATGTCCCTAGTGTCTCCATGTCTCAGTGTCTCCCAATGACCCTATGTCTCACAGCGTCCCCATGTGTCTCAGCATCCCCATGTCTCTCAAACTATTTAGCATGGGTGTTTTTTTTGGCGGTTGTAGATGCGTAACAGATTTCGGGGGTAAAAGTCAGAAAAAGTGTGTTTTTTTACATTATTTCATCATATATTATAATTTTTTATAGTGAATTATATGATTAAAATAATGGTATCTTTAGAAATACCATTTAATGGCGAGAAACACGGTATATAACATGTGTGGGTGCAGTAAATGAGTACGAGGAGAATTACAGCTTAACGGTAAGAAAATTGAAAAACGGTCTGGTCACTAAGGGGTTAAACATGTTGTAACGGATCCCCTGGCACCCTGACTGGGTACCTCCGTTGAATGATGCTCCTAGCGCTTCCTGAGGATTCCAAGCACTGCAGCAGACACCACAACCACCGAACCGGAGAAGCATATGAATGCTCTCAAGCATATGAATACTGTAAGCAGCTGAACAGGAAAAGCATACAATAGGCTTACACTCCTGGCAATCAGCATACAATCCAATTCCCCCAATAACGAGACGACACTTCGTTTTGAGGTCAAGCAGAACTGACTGTACTGGCACATACAGCCTCTTTTATTCCCAATCCACAAACTTAGTACTGCCCACAGGGTTTTACAGAACAACCAATAACACACGTACATTACAGAAAACACTACCAGCAAATATACACAAAATCCTCCACTCTGCTTGTGATCTAATTATGGCACACAATGGGTTAATATAATTATCACAAGCAGGAAAAATACAGTATCATAAAACACATCACAGGGACCCCAAAACATACAATAACCCCATAAAAAGTATATCCTCGGAACTGGGGGATCTGGGTGAACCACATATCCAAAATTCACCCAGATCCGTTCAGGCCCTGGGGAGATAGCGCAGCTAAGCGGACAAGGGCACATGTAGGAGTGTGGGGATAGATGCATGGGATTGGTTGGGAAAGAGTGTGTGGGTGGGATTATGTTCTGTGTAAGTTAGTGTGGGGGAGGTCTTACCTCAGTGCCACTCGGGATTCGGGCCAGCAAACAGCTTCCCTCCCACCCGCCCTATTAGTATATTTAGTCACGGCTAGCCGGGGGTATGTCCTTGCCAATTGAGTTTGAGGGGTTACGTTTAAGTATATGGAATGAGATGAACAAGTTTTTTAGGTCTCAACCTCCCCTGCTTCAAAAGGTTTACATTAGGTTGCCTGAAGTGTCGTGCCCATCGAGCGTGGATAAGGTCGGCTGATGGCGGCCATTGGAAAGATATGATTTTTATGACGAGGGGGGAGGTGAGAGGAAGTGGTGATTAGGAACCACTGTATTTTTATTGGCAAGGACGGTTGGGTCACTGTATAACACTATGTGTGGATGTGGCGAAACCGGCCTCGCCACGTGTCCTTGGAGGGGGCTGCTTGCCCGCCTCTTGCCTTTGGACTATGGACCAGACTGTATGTGAATGTGTTATACCCCAGATAGGAATCCCATGGAGCCCATTCGTATGAAACTGACTGTAAAGACTTTGGCTCCATGGCGATTAAACTGTATTTGTGTGGTCCGAGCGCCATTCACTTAATAATGTGCACTCAGACCTGAGCTATCTGGGGATATGTGAAATGTCTGTGTGTTATGTGTAAAATGTGACTTTATGTATTTTAAAGTGTTTTGTGTCTTTTTGCAACCATGTGCTTAATGGAGTCTTGTGTCTATCCTGGGAGATAATTGAATTACTTATCTCCAGGATAGAAGACTCTGAAACTGGTTTGGGCCAGAAAGCCATGCTTCATTTAGTCACAAAGGACTTTTTACTAACTTTTGAACCCCTTGTCTGATTTGTGCCATTTTTGAATATGTTGTTCCCCTGAATGGATTGATTGTGAATATGTAATTTTATGTGAATGTGATGTATGGTTTGGAGTTATGAAAGTTGGGTAGAAAGTATGTTTTAACTGTATGTATAATTGAGTTTCCTCTCAGGATAAGGGGAGGGAATATGTGGGATGTAACTGTGATGTGATTGGTTGTTTTGTAACGCCCTGTGGGCTGTACTATGTTTGTGGATTGGGAATAAAAGAGACTGTATGTGACAGTACAGGGAGTTCCTGTTTAACCCTCAAAGTGAAGTGTGTCTCATTATTGGGGGAAGGATTTATTGTATGCTGTTCCAGTTTGACTGCTAGGAGAGTAAACCTATTCGTATGGTTCCTATTCAACTGTCTACAGCATTCATATGCTTGAGAGGATTCATATGCTTCTCCGGTTCGGTGGTTGTGGTGTCTGCTGCAGTGCTTGGAGTCCTCAGGAAGCGCTAGGAGCATCCTTTAACGGAGGTACCCAGTCGGGGTGCCAGGTGATCCGTTACATTGGTGGCAAGCGGTGGGATGGTGTCCTAGTGCGAGGTAAAGCAGCTCAGAGACACAGTTCGTGGAGTTACAAATTGAGGGCAACGCTAGCACACGTGCAGCGCCCCTGGGAGCAGAGGTATCCAGCGACTTGGAGCAGACAAGCATGGAAGGCTCTGGCGATGATTGGATGGCCGAGGTGAGGCAGCGAGTGGCCCAGTATGGGGATGATTTACCCATGGAGGTACGCCGGGTGATCTGGAACCAGGTCACGGCCGAGCGAAACACAAGGCTGGCCCGAGAATTCCGGCTGGCGAAAGAGAGAGTATGCTCAGCGGAAGGAGTGTTACAGCAGCCGAGTAGAGGCTGCATCCGAGGAGGCTAGCCGTCTCCCCCTGAGGCGGCCGCAGGAACCCGAAGTAGGGGTCCTCATAGACTGGTCCTGTGAGGAACCACAACAGGCAGGTGGAGATGGGACCGGCCCAGATCCCCAGCAGCAGCCGGAGTTGCCAGGTGCGGAAGCAGGTGGTCCTTACTCGCAAATGTTGAGGGACCTCACAGACTGGTCCTGGGAAGACCCACAGATGGCAGGTGGAGATGGGATGGCGGTCTCTCTACCGGCCCTACAGGGATGCTGGGCGGTCGGCCCAGATCTCCAGCGGCAGTATGTATCACAGGGAGCTGAAGGTGCTGTCCTTCCTCCCCAGCGGCAGTGTGAGTTCCAGGGAGCCGAATGTGCTATCCTTCCTCCCCAGCAACAGTGTGAGTTCCAGGGAGCCAAAGGTGCTGTCCTTCCTCCCCAGCGGCAGTCTTTTTCCCAGGGAACGGAAGGTGCAGTCCTTCCTCCCCAGCGGCAGTGTGTCCTGCAGGAAGCGGAGACAGTCTGTCTTTCACCCCAGCCACAGGACAAAATATTGAAAGGGGAGACAGTTGGTCCCCCTCTCCACCAGCAAAGAGAGTGTCAGGGAGAGGAGCAGGTTACCCCCTCTCCCCAGCGGCAGTCTACAGTTCAGAGAGAGGAGCTTGTTACACCCTCTCTCCAGCGGCAGCCTAACCCACCAAGGGGAGATGTTAAGCCCCACAACTATGCAGATGGGACCGTAGTCTCTGCACTTGCAGCACCAGGGGTAGGGACGGTCGGTCCTGTCCCCCAGCCACAGAGCAGTGTATCCAGAGGGGAGACAGTCGGTCTCCCCCTCCCCACAACCAGGCTCCAACCAGGCTACTTCAGTGGTAGCGCTGGCACCCGGGCAGAGTACCGCTGGTCTCTGCCCACTCAGCAACCCACCAAGGCAGTCTACCAGCCCCCCGCACAGCCGTGGTGAGGCACCTGGACATGGACAAGTTGCTATTTTATCCAGGTGTAGTAACCAGTTATTGTGGGTGGGCTGTATTGCTGTTTGTGCTTCGTGGGTGGGTTGCTGGACTAACCAGGGCACTGACCGGCAGGAGGTCAGATACCCTGTTAGTTTGGATGGTAAAGGGGAGAAATGTGGCGAAACCGGCCTCGCCACGTGTCCTTGGAGGGGGCTGCTTGCCCGCCTCTTGCCTTTGGACTATGGACCAGACTGTATGTGAATGTGTTATACCCCAGATAGGAATCCCATGGAGCCCATTCGTATGAAACTGACTGTAAAGACTTTGGCTCCATGGCGATTAAACTGTATTTGTGTGGTCCGAGCGCCATTCACTTAATAATGTGCGCTCAGACCTGAGCTATCTGGGGATATGTGAAATGTCTGTGTGTTATGTGTAAAATGTGACTTTATGTATTTTAAAGTGTTTTGTGTCTTTTTGCAACCATGTGCTTAATGGAGTCTTGTGTCTGTCCTGGGAGATAATTGAATTACTTATCTCCAGGATAGAAGACTCTGAAACTGGTTTGGGCCAGAAAGCCATGCTTCATTTAGTCACAAAGGACTTTTTACTAACTTTTGAACCCCTTGTCTGATTTGTGCCATTTTTGAATATGTTGTTCCCCTGAATGGATTGATTGTGAATATGTAATTTTATGTGAATGTGATGTATGGTTTTGGAGTTATGAAAGTTGGGTAGAAAGTATGTTTTAACTGTATGTATAATTGAGTTTCCTCTCAGGATAAGGGGAGGGAATATGTGGGATGTAACTGTGATGTGATTGGTTGTTTTGTAACGCCCTGTGGGCTGTACTATGTTTGTGGATTGGGAATAAAAGAGACTGTATGTGACAGTACAGGGAGTTCCTGCTTAACCCTCAAAGTGAAGTGTCGTCTCATTATTGGGGGAAGGATTTATTGTATGCTGTTCCAGTTTGACTGCTAGGAGAGTAAACCTATTCGTATGGTTCCTATTCAACTGTCTACAGCATTCATATGCTTGAGAGGATTCATATGCTTCTCCGGTTCGGTGGTTGTGGTGTCTGCTGCAGTGCTTGGAGTCCTCAGGAAGCGCTAGGAGCATCCTTTAACGGAGGTACCCAGTCGGGGTGCCAGGTGATCCGTTACAGTGGAGTTTATATGTATATATGTTAATTTATGCTTATTTATGTCTAACGTTTTGGTTACAGAAAAAGAAGAGATTTAATAAATAAAGTTATGGATGTGTTATGCAGTAAATTTAGTTTGTGATAATAAATGCTGTGGCCTGTTCATCCATACTAAGTGGTCTGTCATTATTGGGGGGTTGAATGGGGTTAGTTTTTGTTCTAGGCTGCATCGCAATTCCCCACTACGTACATACAAGTAGTTTGGAAGATGCAGTTTAATGCAGATTCCGCAGAACATATACAGGCTAAATGAAAAATAATTACTGTATAATGTGTCCCCTGTTGTATAATTTAAAACTACTGAACAATGTCTTCGTGCACCAAATACAGGCGAGATTGCACCGTGTTGAAAAGTCCACAGTGTCTGTGAGTTAAAATGGCCGCCATCCATTGTTCTCACCATGTGCTTCATCCATTGTTCTCACCATGTGCCTCTGATACATGAAATGGTGGCGACCCAGTAACTCCACAGCATGTCCCCAGATGGTTCTTAAAGGGCCAGCAGCAGCACAACACAAATCCATTATGCCCAAATCATGTCTTTAAAGGGCAATACATCCCAGGGGCCATAGTCACATGGCAGGAGGCTGGCAATCAGTCTTCTCCAATGCCCAGTGGCGAGGTCGGTTTCGCCACACATGTAGTGCACAATGTACAAACAACCTGTACATTAAATAGTAGTGTGTTGGGGAAAACAACCCAGCTTCTTGATCCAAGGAGAAATCTGACTGCTATTCTGGGGTCAATAAGGATTTTTATCCTAGTTTGTCGCAAAGATTTTTGCCTTGGTTTGGATCAACAGCAGAAACACATATGAGAAAGGAAAGCTTTTTCCGCCTATGCAACTATGTAGCATTGGGCCTAACCATACTTGGGTTCTGAACGGCTTTCCATTTAAATATGTACTCAATTTATAATTCTGCTATAATGTCCTGGATGGTTCACCCTATCTTTATAATTTTTTTCAAGTGTCTGAAGTCGCCCTTAAAAAGTTAATTTTTTGTTGCTGGCGATAAATTTAAAAAAAACAGTTGGCATAAATTTCATAGAGCACTTTCTATATCCAATCATTGATTCCCAAGCACTGGAAAATGCTTCAGTTTCACAGAGATTTCAGGAGAAATAAAAATTCAATAAGATTTTATAAGTACTATAGTAGACTGTGCATTGTGCATTCTTATCACCCATTTCAGGAAGGTCGCTGAAGCTGCGAAAGAATGCTAAAATGAAAGACAGAATATCATGGTTCTCAATCAGACGTACACAAAATGTATTGCAAAACTTAGCAGGAACATTGAACAGAACATCCAGACTTTAGAGGTCAAAAAACAGATTCACCAGATATTTGAGGAAAACATAAACCTCAAAACATACAAAATAATGTCTACATATTTGATATTAGCTTTATGGAACTTACCCTTACGGCCAGGTATGGGATCAGTTTCACTAATTGCATTATTTACTTGCCTGTATGCTATTACTATCCACATGTACCCTATTCCTAACCCATTCCTGTCCCATGCTCACCCTTCCCAAAGCTGGGAATTAACATAGAGCGTGGGGCTTGACTGCCTAGCTGCTCTGCCACATCTTGTCTGAGCTCCATGCAGATTGCTTTATTTTCTCCATTTTAGGGGCTTACAGGCCCTATATTAATACTGGGGCTCTTCAGCTACTGTGCAGGCCCACCAAGTGTGTGTCATCAACATATTTAAATGCGTTTGTTATCGTGGAAGCCTTGCGGCCTACCTGGAGACGCAGGTAAGAGGGAAGCGGCTGATTCAGAAGCCCCTGAATCGATCCCCATGCCTCCCCGGTTGGAGTAGATTAACACAGCACTCTACATCTCAGGGGCACCTACACCGCAGACATCTAAAACTGGAGGAGCTGAGGCCTGTTGGGAATCTCGGCGAGCTCTGTTTGAGCAACTACCTTCCCAAGATGGCGGACACCATGCCTCCAACGTATGTCTCCTATGACAGAGCAAAATGTCTCTAACTAATCTCAACAGCCATTACAGAGTGTCCCACATCCCCTGTGTGGTGATTCCAGCAACAAAGTTCCTGTTCATACCTACACATGGGCCTGCAAGCTCCAGAGCCAGCTGTATTCTCTACATGACAAATAGCATGAGAGTACTGAAGCGTCAACGTTAACAGGTGACTGGGAATGCCTGGGAGCCGCTGTTACCATCTGAGGCAGTGAGAGTCAGTCAGAGCTGCTTTATCTAGACACCTACTCGCACCGTGGCCTACAGCCATTAGGCTGTGTTTCAGCCTGGGAGACTGCTCTCTGCCATTGGAGGGTATTAGCTGATATAAAATAAAATGTAAAAAAATAATACCCTCATGGCCCTCCACCAGCTGTAGAGATCTGGCACTAAAGAGTCCCCTACAAGCCCACTGTATAAATGCCTATGGCTAACTTGACTGTGATCCTGTGGGAATTCATCCCCTTACTGGACATTATATAATAATATGTATTGTAAGTCCAATAAAAGAAATGTATATCTGCACACTGCATTTTATTTCTAGTGGAACGTTATATGCCAGAAGTAATGTGTTTATAAAAATTCCACAAAAGCCTCTCATAAAAGTGTTAAAGTAGTTTATTTTCCATTTTATATTCGTGACAATCTAACAACATAAGAAACAATAAAACAGACATTTAGGATCATTGATACAATCTCATCATTGTAATTAATACCAGTAAATACTGTTGTTTAAAATACTAGGTGAAACGCACATTGCTGCTTGCGTCGGTGAAATCTGTATTAGTTACTGCAAGATGAACTGAAATGTGAAATTCTTTGGAAGAAGCCCTTATGGCAATATCGTTAATATTTTATGGAACATCTAGATCTCTGATTTTTGGGGCGTTTTTGTTAAGTGTCCCTTTCCCTTGCAAAGTATGCGCAGCCAAAATTTTGATAGTACCGTATGTTTTTTTGACTTGTGCACAACATGTTGGTATAATGAAACCACGTTCTGTCAACACTGTAGCTGACGTGACTCCATAAAGGTTAGAAATATAACAAGTTGTCTTTTTACAGAAAAATGTTGGGCAGAGTAGTCCTCCAAGGGAGTAACTATCACATGCAACTAAATAACGGATATGGGATATACTTATAACTCATAATATCTGGATGTCTGCACACACTGACCATCTTAAATTAAATTATCCCACTGGAATAACAAAGACTCCTCACATTAAATAACTTTAGATTTAAAGTGGTCGGCATTTTTTTTTCTTTCAGTTTTCCCTGATTCTTAATGATTATACTCCCCTCTTTTGCACTTGCCTTAATTTATATTTATAATCAACTCTTCCTTAAGCAGGATCTCAATACTTGGGTTCCGCCATTTTGTTCTCCTCTGTCCACGATGTCTGCCATTTGCATTTTTGTGGAATTGAGTTTAATGATGGATTGTGGGTAAATTTGATTGACTGAAACAGAACCTAGTATAAGGCCCACCTATCTACGTGACTACTATACATAAGGAAAATAATTCCCTATGTTTCTTTGTGCATTGTTTTTAAAACTAGAGCGCTCAGTAAAAAAAATTAAAAGAGACCGAGACACAGGGAGTTATGTAGAAAGAGATTGACTAACCTACTTTAAGGAAAGATCAAAAAGATATGGGGGATGTCAATCCTGCATATAATGACCTTCTGGAATGGAGACCTGGTGCCCCCTGCTCAGACTGCTAGTTTTCCTGTGTACCCAAGGATCCAGTCTACATAATTAATGACTTTAGTGTAAAACCCATAGCCTCTGCTACAGCTGATTCCCCATGACACTAATCCTGTAGCCACCCAGGTTTCATTTATGTCTGTAACATATGCTCCCCCACTGTCCCCTTGACACGAATCTCCCATTCCACTCTCTTGATATCCAGCACAGAACATGTTTTCGGAAAACAAGATTTCTTTGGATTTATCTATTTTCATCACCTCTTTTTTCTTTCTCTTTAGATAGTCATGACAACTTGTCCGTTTGCCTACGGGCAGAGTCACATATTGCAGAGTATCTGCAATCTTGTTTTTCCCAGTATCTCCATATCCACTCGCATAGCCTTTTCTATTGTCCTCGTATAGTAAAAAATCATTTTTTTCAGGAAGGCAGATGGGGGATACATTCAGGTTCATAACTAAAGGATATTCCAATCTAATTAAAGCAATATCATTGTCATAGTTTTCAGGATTATAATCAGGATGAAAATGATAATCTGCGATTGCATAGCTCCCTTGCATAATTTGTTCATCCACACTCACTCCCCCCAAGAAGAGGTTGATACTAGAGGGGTCTTTATTTAAAATATTTGAAGAAGAACTTGCTTTTTTATCCCACAGTACATGAGCTGCTGTTAGCACCCAGTGTTCGCCAATAACTGCTCCACCACTGCGTCCATTTCTATTCAGAAGGACTTGCCACGGGAAGTTTCCGATTTTTGCAGAGTCCCCACCAATGATTCGACTATAGGGCTTATCAGGAGGTACCCACTGCTTGCCACACACTGAGAACAAAGAGAGAACAATAAGAGGTTTTATAAATACTCTTGGTTGGAGTCAAACTTAAAGCTAAAATATGAAATCCACCTCGTTTTAATTGTCTACTTCAATTCTAAGAAGGTGTCACTCAAAGGGTATATCAAGATCTTTATCCTATACTGGTAGTTTACAATCTTTTATGGACCAAAGCACACTAAAGTGTTTTAAAAACTAGACTTATTAGTCAAGTATTAGACAATGTAATAGAATGTAAAAGGCTTTTAAAGATTAAGTATAACATGTGTGAATGGGATTGTAAATGTTACATTTTGCCTTCTGAAAATAAAGAATAAAAAAAAAAAAATAGACTTAAGCCGGTTTGTCCAAATCAAATTCCTTTTAACCCATGCCCGAATTAATCAACTTACCTGCGAAGTCTTATTCATTGATCCAGATTCTACAAGTAAATCCCAGATGAATCAATTCATATGGGCATGGAGTAAAACAAAAATTAATTTGGACAAACTGTTCCAAACAAATTTTTGAAAAAGTCTGTTAAAACTATATATAACGCATTCCGAAGTGCGGCCTCTGTGACCGCAAATTATTTTTATTGTATTCTTTTTTTTTATTGTTGATTTGATTCTCACTCCATGCTTGAACACACACGTATTTATTACCTGGGATACACCGTGGTGGCTGATCTCCCCCGTTCTCATCAGTCCATTTACGTTGTGCCGAACATGTGAATTTTGCTGGAAGGAAGATTAAAATTCGGTATTATCAGAGATTTCTGCAGATATAAATATCAAAACAGTTCACTTTCTGGGTTAGAAATTAGCCACATGAGAAATGTATTATGGTTCCTTGCCAAGAGCTAATAATGAGCAAATAAATGCATAAGACAGTTGGTCGAATCAAAGAAACTTCTTTAAGTTCAGAAACAGGAAAGAAATAAACACATAAAATGTTGCAACCCATGAAAATGATGACATGTTCAACAGTTACTGGATAGATGCTGAAGACATAAGATATGAATTAATTATTGTCATCTACACAGAGACCACTGAGAAACCCACAGAAAAGGTCTCACTATAAAGAAAATCATTTTTCTCTGCTTCACTGATTTATCTTTATCTTTGTTTTATCCACCAAAAAACCATATGCAGTTGACTACATTTCTCATACAGACCCAACCAAGTTCACAGAGGGACCCAATTTACACATGACTCTCTCCCCCACTATTTTGCCCTGCTCCTGTTCAGTCTCACTAAGTCCAACTCACCTGACCTCAAGAATCTTTCCAGAATTACTTCCTCCCAAAATAAGTACCTTTCACCTACCTGACCTTCCACTATCTGGGATGGTTTATTAAAAACCACCCCGTATTTTTGACCGTCAGAAAGATAAATCTGTCCACCTACACTCTATTACCAGGTAAAGAGAGCATAAATTAGAGAAGCATTCAAAATGTCGATTGTATATGCAAACTGAAAGATGTGAGAAACTGTCCATGGTGCAGCTACAACTCAGGCCCTCCACAAAGCTGGGCCTCCATAATTAAAAGATCAAAAGAATATGGCATAACTTAATTCTACTTGATAAAGGCCCAAGTCAGAGAAGCAAGCAAGATGCCAAACGTAGTGTCAATGTGCCCAGAGGGATACCCAATGCTAATGGGGAAAAATATAATCTGTGCTCTGATATTTGTTTTTCAGTTCTCTATAACTTGGTATTTAGTGAATAAAACCAAAAAGTGTAGTGCATGCACATCATTGTACGCGGTCGCACTACGCCAAAGGCACTTGGATCATGTAGATAGATGAAACAGTACTCTCTGCATGATCTGCCCTCAGTGGGCTGGCCTGTGTGATTGGCATTTTACAAAATCCATTCATTTCATTCAACACACTGAATGAGGACCACTCCGTTGAACTTTTGAAAGCAGTTATGCTACACTAAAAAGCAAATAAACTAAACAAAAAAAAAAAGAGAGAGGCGTACACACCACTGCCAGTGGCGGTCAGCATGCTGTAAAATGGGGCATCACAGCTGTATTCAAACACAGATAAGTAAGTCCATTTGTTTGGAGAGGTCAGGAATACCAGCTGTCCATTCCGCAGAATTTCAGGCTCCTTACAGCTCACAACTGCAAGAAATCAGAGAATAAAAATGGGAAATGATGTATGCATATTCAGGCAGCCATGCAGTGCCAGATAAATAGATAGACAGAGAGACAGAAAATAATAATAATTAAAGGACCCTAACATTATTCCACACATACATGCTTTAGCATTCTGCATTTTTTTTATGTTAAACTCATTTTTAGAATAAGGTTAGAGCTAGGGTTACTTTTAGAATTAGGGCAGGGTTAAACAACCTTCGGCACTCTAGATGCGGTGGACTACATCTCCCATAATGCTCTTACAGCCATAATGCTGACATGGCACCAGGGGAGATGCAGTCCACAATATCTGGAGTGCGATGGTTGCCTACCACTGGGTTAGGGTTTCTTTAAATTTAAATACAGTAAGATACAGTAATTCTAAGAGAGTGTGTACAGTTAATTCAGCTGTTAGGGACCCAGACTGTATATTAGGGTCTTACTTTCGCATTGTGGCATTGGTCGATGCCAGGTACCATCTCTCTGGCAAAGCATTGTGTATCCCCTGTGCTCAACATCACCCTGCAGGTAAAAAAAAAAAAAAAAAGCAAAATTTGTCAAGTAACTGTTCAGAAAATTGCATGTCAAAAAAGTTATAAATTGATTTGCATGTCAATGAGTGAAATACGTATTTGATCCCCTATCAATCAGCAAGATTTCTGGCTCCCAGGTGTCTTTTATACAGGTAACGAGCTGAGATTAGGAGCACTCTCTTAAAGGGAGTGCTTCTAATCTCAGCTCGTTACCTGTATAAAAGACACCTGTCCACAGAAGCAATCAATCAGAGTCCAAACTTTCCACCATGGCAAAGATCTGTCCAAGGATGTCAAGGACAAGATTGTAGACCTACACAAGGCTGGAATGGGCTACAGGACCATTGCCAAGCAGCTTGGTGAGAAGGTGACAACAGTTGGTGCGATTATTCGCAAATGGAAGAAACACAAAATAACTGTCAGTCTCCCTCGGTCTGGTGCTCCATGCAAGATCTCCATTCAATGATCATGGGAACAGTGAGGAATCAGTCCAGAACTACACGGGAGGATCTTGTTAATGATCTCAAGGCAGCTGGGACCATAGTCACCAAGAAAACAATTGGTAACACACTACGCGTGAAGGACTGAAATCCTGCAGCGCCCGCAAGTTCTCCCTGCTCAAGAAAGCACATGTACAGGCCCGTCTGAAGTTTGCCAATGAACATCTGAATGATTCAGAGGAGAACTGGGTGAAAGTGTTGTGGTCAAATGAGACCAGAACTGAGCTCTTTGGCATCAACTCAACTCGCTGTTTTTGGAAGACGAGGACTGCTGCCTATGACCCCAAGAACACCATCCCCACCGTCAAACATGGAGGTGGAAACATTCTGCTAAGGGGACAGGACAACTGTACTGCATCAAAGGGACAATGGACAGGGCCATGTAACATCAAATCTTGGGTAAGAACCTCCTTCCCTCAGCCATGGCATTGAAAATGGGCCGTGGATGGGTATTCCAGCATGACAATGACCCAAAACACATAGCCAAGGCAAGAAAGGAGTGGCTCAAGAAAAGCACATTAAGGTCCTGGAGTGGCCTAGCCAGTCTCCAGACCTTAATCCTATAGAAAATCTGTGTAGGGAGCTGAAGGTTCGAGTTTCCAAACGGCAGCCTCGAAACCTTAATGACTTGCAGAGGATCTGCAAAGAGGAGTGGGACAAAATCCCTCCTGAGATGTGTGCAAACCTGGTGGCGTCTGACCTCTGTGATTGCTAACAAGGGTTTTGCCACCAAGTACTAAGTCGAAGGTGTCAAATACTTATTTCACTCATTGACATGCAAATCAATTTATAACTTTTTTGGCATGCGTTTTTATGGAATTTTTTTTGTTATTCTGTCTCTCACTGTTAAAATACATCTACCATTAAAATTATAGATTGATAATTTCTTTGTCAGTGGGCAAACGTTCAAAATCAGCAGGGGATCAAAAACTTTTTTTCCCTCATGGTAAATACCAAATTCCCAAACAGAATCCACATTTTTTTTTTTATTAAATGCATGTATTGGTTTCTTATGGAGGATCCTTTGTCATGCATGACACTGAGATAAAAAGGAAAAGTAGGTCTAATAAGGAACAGAAGTGACTTATTACCCACACTGGGTGAAGCAATTACCTCCAATACACACAACAAGTAACCATGGAGGATGCAATCAGTCTACCAATCACTTTCTCATAAGGAAGTCTTGATAAAATCTTCATTGTTGAAACCTCATGCTTTGGTAACAGCTTACACACTGTTTTGTGTGTGAGTCTCAACATCCTGTTTTCAGTTTCCGGTCAGTGGCCATTTTCTAGATGCCAGCATGTACCTAGACATCTCTGTCCCTTTTTCTGCCCTGCTGTCGTTGTATAGACTCAATGGCGAAGGAGACACCTCTTCTAACACGCTAACACAGGCTCTTAACGGGGTGCATTTATTGTGTTAAACTGTCAGATAAGAGTATATCAAATTATATAATTTATGAAACCTAAAACCAAAATATTAATCTATTTTCTACTTTATCCTTTTCTTTTACACATTGAAACCTGCGTTAACAAATATATTCTGGAGGAGAAACTTGTGATTAGTGAATTTCTTTGTATTGACACCATTTTCAATGACAACTTCAGGTTATCAAGGAATTCTTCACTCATTTTTAGTAATATACCCATACAAGCAATTTTTTATGCAACCCCTTGTTTTGTATTTTTCTTTCACCCGGGTTTTTAGTCTTTATATTTACTTGGATATTCATTAAAGTGAGAATTTAAGGTGAATTCAAAGTAAATTTCAAATTTAAGGTGAAACAGCTAAACTGGAAAAATTCTCTCAGTTTGCTTGCAATTTGGCTATTCTGGCCTTCAATTTGAAATTCACTTTGAATTCTCTATTTAGTAAATAACCTTGTTAGCGTCTTGCCCAAGAGTCAAATAGATCAGCTTTTGCTGGGCCAAACATGTGTTGGCTTTCACTTCCAGTGACGTTCTCCACCATGAATGTACCATGAATGATGCCACCTATTTCATATCTCATCCCTGGTTTTACACTCACCTCCATGAGTTTATATCCAGTCTGGCACGACACCACAATGTAATCTCTCATTCGGTATTCATTCTGTTTTGGTGTGATGATGGTGAAGCTGTCCAGGGGAACGGGATTTGGACACTGGATGGCTATGAAAAAAGACAATGAGACAGAGATTGGAATAGTTTATAGAGACCACAAACTTTAGGCCCAGGGGACACAGTAAGACATGGAGACATGGTCTTATCACAAGTGACAGCTGGAGGCCTCCAGGAAAAACAGTGACGTCCAGAGACTTCTAAATGACATAAAAAAATGGCAGCCAAAGACTTTTATGAATAAAAGTGGCTTCGCAAGGTCTCTAGTTATCTAGGTGACACTTTGCAACGAAGACTTAATAAACTGGGTCTGCCTACAATTAGTGGGTAAATATTTGGATTACAGAATTAGTGTATCCCGGTTAGGATTAGTGAATGTAGAGCTAGTATTAAGGAGTCATGCTACATGTAATAATTAGTGAGGCACTTTAGAGATGTTAGTTAAGTGGTCATGCAATTTAGGGTTGATGTTCTTGAGCCGTGCATGTTTTGCTCTTTGTAAACTTTGCATATGGTTATAAAGCAGGGGTTCTCAACCCAGTCCTCAGGACCCCCTACCAGTCCAGGATTTGGGGATTACCTGGGTGTGTCTCAGGTGTCTAGAAAAAGGGAAAGAAAACACCTTAGACTCTAAGGTGTTTTTTTTTCTTTTTCTAAACACCTTAGACACACCCAGGTAATCCCTAAACCCTGGACTGGTAGGGGGTCCTGAGGACTAACGTTGAGAACCCCTGTTATAAAGTGATACTGTTGTTGTGCATTATGAAACGTGGTTGCTAGGGCAGATTTGCAGGACACATGGTTCATTGATATAATACGCAATGAAGAGCAAGGCTGCGCAGTGTAGGGCACTCGGAATAAACATGTAGAATTGGGCTTTACCCTACTGCTTGTACGCTATTAGGCCCCCATAAAATTGGAGGCCATTACATTTTGGAGGGCATCTGTGCTTTTACTGATCAATTCAGATCATTTGTGTGAGACATCTGTGAAAAATGCAAGGAAGAAATAGGGATCTTATTGGAGAGAACGCTTAACTATGACCCCAGCCAATTAATGAACAGCAGTACAGGCGTCCAGCTTCTGCAGATGTCATTCAGTCGCCATTCGTTGCCGATTGGTATCTGGCGAAACCAAGCTAAGTGGCACACCACTGTAAAACTGGTGAACAATACCAGGGTTCTCCGGGCACTATAACCACTACAGTGGGTTGTAATGGTTATAATAGTTGGAGTAACCATTAAATGGGTATGTGTTTCTTGGTTAGGATTAGTGGGGTTGTGGTAGTATTAAGGGGTTGTTGTTAACTGGTTAGTATTAGTGGGCTATTGTTAGTTTTAATGGACTATTGTTAACTGGTTAGGATTAGTGTGGCAGTGTTAGTATTAAGGGGTTATTGTTACCTGGTTAGGATTAGTGGGGTATAGTTAGTATTAAGGGTTTATTGTTAACTGGTTAGGATTAATGGGGTAGTGTTAGTATTAAGGGGTTATTGTTAACTGATTAGGATTAGTGGGGTATTGTTAGTTTTAAGGGGTTATTGTTAACTGGTTAGTTTTAGTGGAGTATTGTTAGTATTAATGGGTTATTGTTAACTGGTTAGAATTAGTTGTTAGTATTAAGGGGTTATTGTTACCTGGTTAGGATTAGTAGGATATTGTTAGAATTAAGGAGTTATTGCTAACTGGGTAGATTACTGGGTTAGTGTTAGAATAAAGTGGGTATTGTTACCAGGTTAATATTAGTGGGACAGAGTTAGAATAAATGGGTTATTGTTATCTGATTAGTATTATTGTAGGTAGTGTGACTATTAAGGAATTATGGTTACCTGGCTAGAATTAGTGGGGTAGTGCTAATATTATGGGGTTATTGTTAGTAGGTTAGAATTAGTGGGGTACTGCAAGCATTAAGGTATTTTGTTGAACTGGTTAGGATTAGTGGGGTAGTATTAGATTTAAGGAGCCAGTATTACCAAGATAAGGATTAGTGGAGTACTGTTAGTATTAAAGAGTTAGTGTCACTGTTAGAATGAGATCACTGTTACCTGAGTAAGATTAATGGGTGTGAAAGGATAATGATAGTGGAGGTTTTGGTACGGGGTCACTAAAATGTCCAGTTGCATTCTAAACAAGGGACAGATATCTAATTTGTTTTTTTAAAGGAATAGTAGAATAGTCACTTAACTATTTAAAGTATCTGGGTCCCTCCAGCGTTCCTTTCTGTGTAGACCTGTCTCCCCAAAAGCTATTGGTTTTCCCTTTCTGCAACTTGTCTGTATGTATTTTGCCTTTTTTTTAATGTATTTTGCCTTTTTTAATGTATTTTGTGTGTTTTCTGTGTCAACACAAAGCTAAACTAGGTGAAACTGATTAGTGAATAACAGTGACAGTGGCATGTTGAGTTTAGGACTTCAAGGTCATAAAACAAAATCTTAAGGAACCCTCTAAACAGTAGAAGAGAAAGAAATTATGATGTCTTACGTTCTGCAGAATACCACAGTTTCCATCCTTTGCTGTCTCCAGAATCATCAGTTTCAAACACGATATCGATACTGTTGCTGCCTGTCTTTACTGTCCCAGGGGAGCGACGACCACAGTAATTGTCCACGAGCTTCTCACCTGCAAGGATCTGAGACAGAAGGCAATGTTACATGGGGAGGCGACCCAAGTATGGTCTCTTTTATGCTTTGCCAGCCTTAAAGATTTCTGTTCTACTACATCAGGGGATCTAGCTTTGTCCACCCCTGGTGTAACCAATAAAGTCTATAGCATAGCAAAGTGATAAAAACAGAGCATAAGTATGCGATCTGGAGTATTGCACATGAAAGAGTCAGAATGAATCTGTCAGTCTCTATGGGGGAAGGAAGCTATGAGAAATCTAGATCCTTCTGACTGTAGGGTGACGCATTAAGACAGAAGTAAAATAATTCTTCATGCATTTTTTTTATATTTTTTACCTTTAGAGTGTCATATGGACAGTGGACCCGAGGGTGGTGATCAATCTCAAAAATGTCATGGAACTTGAGGGAGATGACAAGACCTTTCTCCAGGCGAATGCTGTAGTTACACTGTAGATCACCAGGGTATGGCTTGGGATATCCCGGGCTGGAAATAAACCCACTTTCCTCTGTGTACAGCTCATTACTACACTCAACTGGAATAAAAGATCAACATCAATATGTAATGGTTCGACAATGAGCAGTGGACACATAGGGGATATCATCAACTGGGTTTTTTTTTCTATTGTATTTTATGTCTTTCTAAGAAAGTTAAAAACGAAACCTGATGAACAATCATTTTACTAACTGGAACAGACATGGAGGTGACAGACAGCGTTGGGGTGGCGGTTTGAATAACGAGTGACTTAGTGACTGCCAATTGATGGAAAAGATTAGAAGAGAGAGTGACAGACGTCAAAATAAAGAACTGAGGGGTGACAAACAGTGGCTAGATAACAACAGAATATTGGGCAGACAGTAATTAGACCAAGGTGAAAAGATTTAGGGGGTGACAAATAGTGACTATATGAAGATTAAAAGACAAATATTGATCCTAGTGTGACATAAAGAATTGGGATGGACAGTGACTAGAGGGTGAGAAAATTGTTGGGAGAGCAAACAACGATCAAAGGGTAATTGAAAGGATTGGGTGAAATATTGATGAGAAAGTGATGGAAATAGTTTAGGAATGCAGACATTAATCAGAGGTTGTTGGAAAATGTTAGGGAGGGTATACAGTGACTATAGGGTAGCGCCTCGAGATGCCATCAGATGGCATATGGCACAAGAGAAAGGGACACTGGAGGAATATATAGTGTAGTATGTTGTTTGGAATTAAATACACTATATGTCCCTTTCTCTCGTTCCATATACCATCCGAGGACATCTCAAGGCACTACTCTCACATTTACGTGCAAGTATTTTCTATTTTAGCTTGGAAATAGAGACTCCAGATTGGGTTTTTGAGCTGCCTATCTTACCTCACAGCATTCCCCAACCGCTAAACAATATTGTGTGTGGTTATTGCTAATGCCCATAGGGTGATAGAAAGATTGGGGAGGGACAGATATAAATCAGAATGTGATAGAAGTGGATGAGTGGCAGACAGTGACAAGAAGGCGATGGAAAAGATTAAGTGTTTAGAGAAAGTGACAAAAAACTGACGGTGTAGTTCCAGAGAAGAAGAAAAGGAGTTGAGGCAGGTTTTAACCCCTTTCGTCATTTAAAGTAAATAGGGCGATAGTATAGTATATGTGAAATATTTTTTATTTGATGTTTTTTGTACATGTTATATTGACTAGGGAACTGGGAAACTGCAGCAACTACATTAGCTTATGATAGGAGACTTTGTGTCAAGGTCTCCTTTATTTATTTGAGGGCATTTTCCCATGGTCCCAATGATTAAACCAGAGAGTAGTGGCGGATAATACACAAAGGGACAATAGCCAGCTCTCACCTTTGCAGCTCCTTTGATCACTTTGCAGTTTGTATCCTCTCATGCAGGAACAGAAATAACCTCCCATGAAGTTATGACAGTGATGCTCACACGGAGAGGTCCATGTTACACTGTTATCATCTGACTGTGAGCACTCGTTTCTGTCTGAGAAAGAGAGTACAAAATAGGAGTGACAGCGACAGGAGAACAATCTGAGACAATGTCAATATATTGAATGTCATGGAGAAAAAGACAGTCTTTATTCAGTAACCATCACTGGGTGAATATTGACCACACTATGCCCCCACATATCCACTCCTGATGACATACCTCTCACTGTTGGAAGTTATGTCTTGTATATTAGGATGTTTCTGTGTCCCATTTATGGTCCTGGTACACTGACAGAGTTATTTTATTAAATCCGACTGTTTCAAATTGAAACTGATATAGCAAACATTTAAGCAAACATAGCTGATTTGGAGAGATTGTCCAACTTGGCTGTATTCACAAACTGGCAGTTCTAGCCTCAACTGGCAACTCAGACTTCAATTTGCTACAATTTGGATTTTATTGAATAACTCTGGTATTCTAATTCAGAATAAGTGGTTTGGGTGTACTTATGGTCTTAGAGCAATCTGGATAAGGCAAGATGTCTGCTGGATGGCCATAACCATGCCCATTTGAGTTGTTATAGTATCTGCTTCACCAATGGTTGGAATAGCAGATGCTGAGGTCAAGACTATCTCTCCAACCACATTAGAACAGTCAACAGTGCATAACATTTCATAAAAGACACACTGCAGCATCTTCAAAAATGATGTGCTATTTTGGCTGCCACTCATTCTAGTGCTCTGGGGACTTACCTATTGCACGATAGTATGCCTGGAAGCCTGAGTATGGGTCATCGGAATCATTCTCATCATTGGAAAAATCGGACTTAAACTCAATTCTCATTTGGTTCCGTTGAGACAAAAAGTGACGTTGACCTGGATGAGATCTGAACTGCGGATGGCCACAGAAGGTCCCCAACTCTCTCTTATCATCAAACACCTGAAACAGATTATACAAGTGGGAAGAGAAAGAAACAAATAGCAGGGTTAGATAGGGATGGCTCCTTGTATGAAGCATTTTATCAAAAATAAACTTTTATGCCCTATACAGTCACAGTTAATGGGTTTATGTTAAGCACAGTTTGGAGCATTACGTCTGTCAGGGAGGCAAGGGGTGGCCACCTACCCCCATCTTTGAGCTTGCTTATTACTGATGCCACTTCTGAATATAAAAGCAGATGTCAAACAGTGTATCTGCAATACTGATGCCACAGGCTTGCCTGGTAAAAATGTGTCAACCACTTTTCAATTAGCCTCTGCACACATCTGATGCAAACACCCGTGAAACCCATGGTGGCACGTGAGTAACTCCACCTACACTACCGAGGCAACACAGTTTACATCATCACACACAGTTTCATTACTATCTATCTTGAAAATTCTATCCTGTAAGCTTTTTACATTGGGCATTTCGATGTCCTTTCTGGAAGGTACTTCAACGGACCCACCTAGAACCTGGCTGCTACCTTAGACCATATCACTTCATCATCTTCAACTATCTATCAATCATTTGTGACCATCCCTCAGCTATTACTGCTCCTGCTTAATACACATATAAACATGCAGTCCATAGCTTTCCATCACATGTAGTCCATGGTCACCCAAGCAGTCTGTGCTATTGCCACCCACACCGTCCATGGTTGTATGTCACACAGTTGTGTTTCTTTATACCTTAACATAATCATAGTGACAATTCTCTGAAGGTTCGATGACAAATGTCAAAAAGTTTAGTGAGATCTTATATCCATCAGGAACTGCAATGTCCCAGGTAGTTTTGTTGTTATTGGGGTACGGCTTGGGGTAATTGGGGGACGTGATGATCCCGTATAGCGGTTTCCTGTTTGTGGAGCAGGTTGCAAATCCAAAAAGCAAGAAAACCCAGCGATACCTGCAGGAAAGTACAGCCATCATTATTTATATTTCAGAAGCCTTAGCCTATTCCTTAGTAATGTCCAGTGGGTATTAATATTTGACCCACTCTGACACACTCCAAGTATTTATACCGATGCGGTCACACTGCTCATTACTATGGGTTTTTTATTAACATATAAACTGAACATTAATATTGCTTACCCATAGGAGTGTAAAACCTTATACAGTGCCTTGCAAAAGTATTCACCCCCTTGACTTTTCTTTACCTATTTTGTTACATTACATCCTTAAATTAAATGTTTTGTTAATCTGAATTTTATGTGATGGATTAGAACACAATAGTCTAAGTTAGTTAATTGAAATGAGAAAAATATATACATAAAACTATTTTTTAGAAATAGAAAACGGAAAATTGGCATGTGCGTATGTATTCACTCCCTTTGTTATCAAGCACATAAAAAGCTCTGGTGCCCCATCTCCCGCCTTGCTCCTAATCTTGCTTCCTCTTTTTCCCAGCTAGACTGCTCCCGCCACCCCACCCCATATAACCCCCTCACCCTCTTGACTACTCCTTGACTAGACCACCCCACACCACGTACTAGACTGAGACATTCAATCCATGAGAACATGTACAGACATACCATACCAAACACGGAACCATAGAGGGACAGTAGATAGAACCCACAAAAGCGATATTAAGGGACAGAAACACACAAGATACCCTAAACGCCCAAAAAGCTAATGGCCCATAAGCAAGGTTCACCGCACAATAGACCCCACTGCTTTTAGCCCCAGAAGCAACCCAACAACACACATGCAATACCCCCCACTGGGCTCACACACCCACGGGACATATCTCTTACTCATGCCCCCCCAACCACAGAAAAGGACGTACCTTACAGGGTTCGTGCACCTGGACACAGGTGGGGCGGGTCAGGTTACCCCATCCACAACATTTGAAAAACCCTAAACAAACACCTGCCAGGAAGCCCCGCCACAAGCAGACCCACCCACACATACGGCCTCTGCATACCTGCCCCTGGCAGGGCCCCACACCCTTCTCATGAATATCACGCCCTGAGCTGCAAGAAGTCCCAAATGGTTGGGGGTATGAGAATATCAAAGACATAGGACACTCACAGATACAGAACAGGTCGAATAGCGCTAGATAATGGGCATACCCACAGCTCTCAACTACTGTGTGATCTGTAAACATGGAAATAGGTATTGTTATACTATTATGGATGTCTATCACTGCATTGGTGCACTACAAATAACTGTTTGACTTCCCACCCTTTTTCCTTCTGTACACCCCTCCTTTTAAAATTGAAAAACTGAATACATAAATAAAGATTGTCAAAAAAAAAAAAAAGCTCTGGTGCAACCAATTACTTTCAGAAGTCACATAATTAGTGAAATGATGTCCGCCTGTGTGCAATCTAAGTGTCACATGGTCTGTCATTACATATACACACCTTTTTTGAAAGGCCCCAGAGGCTGCAACACCTAAGCAAGAGGCACCACTAACCAAACACTGCCATGAAGACCTAGGGAATCTCCAAACAAGTAAGGGACAATGTTGTTGAGAAGTACAAGTCAGGGTTAGGTTATAAAAAAATATCCAAATCTTTGATGATCCCCAGGAGCACCATCAAATCTATCATAACCAACTGGAAAGAACATGGCACAACAGCAAACCTGCCAAGAGACGGCTGCCCACCAAAACTCACGGACCGGGCAAGGAAAGCATTAATCAGAAAGGCAGCACGGAGACCTAAGGTAACCCTGGAGGAGCTGCAGTGTTCCACAGCAGAGACTGAAGCATCTGTACATAGGACGACGATAAGCTGTACGCTCCAAGAGTTGGGCTTTATGGCAGAGTGGCCAGAAGAAAGCCATTGCTTTCAGCAAAAAAACAAAATGGCACGTTTTGAGTTTGCGAAAAGGTATTTTGGAGACTCCCAAAATGTATGCATGAAGGTGTTCTGGTCTGATGAGGCTAAAATTTAACTTTTCAGCCATCAAAGAAAATGCTATGTCTGGCGCAAACCCAACACATCACATCACCCAAAGAACACCATTTAGCAGCCGGAACTGGGAAACTGGTCAGAGTTGAGGGAAAGATGGATGGTGCTAAATACAGAGATATTCTTGAGCAAAACTTGTACTACTCTGTGCGTGATTTGAGGCTAGGATGGAGGTTCACCTTCCAGCAGGACAATGACTCCAAACACACTGCTAAAGCAACACTTGAGTGGTTTAAGGGGAAACATGTAAATGTGTTGGAATGGCCTAGTCAAAGCCCAGACTTCAATCCAATAGAAAATCTGTGGTCAGACTTAAAGATTGCTGTTCACAAGCGCAAACCATCCAACTTGTAGGAGCTGTAGCAGTTTTGCAAGGAGGAATGGTCAGAAATCCCAGTGGTAAGATATGGCAAGCTCATAGAGACTTATCCAAAGCGACTTGGAGCTGTGATTGCCGCAAAAGGTGGCTCTACAAAGTATTGACTTTAGGGGGGTAAATAGTTATGCACATTGACTGTTTCTGTTATTTTTTCCTATTTGTTGTTTGCTTCACAATAAAAAATAATTTTTTTTTTAAAAAACATCTTCAAAGTTGTGGGCATGTTCTGTAAATTAAACGATGCAAATCCTCAACCAATCCATGTTAATTCCAGGTTGTGAAGCAAAAAAACATGAAAAATGCCAAGGGGGGTAAACACTTTTGCAAGGCACTGTAAATCTCATTCCAGAGTAACAATTGTTATTGTAAAAATGTATCTGCAGATCATTGCAGCTCAACTCATATCAGCAGAGCATGCACTTTGTGTACAAAATATGATCTCATTCCTTTCTGGGGGATTTCAGTGTTTGTTTCAATATTGAGCAATGCAGAACAGCATATCTCTCCCTGCAGAGCATCTTACCTTCACCAAAAAAAAAAAAGAGAGAGAGAATTAACTCCTCATCTGCCAGAGCATCTTTGCTTATACCTGGCTTTAGAGCATTGCCTAGTTCCTGGAAGCATAAAATCCCTCCAGCAGATCATTCCTAGTTTTCATGAAATACTTACATAGTGTCTCCCACCGCTGCCAGCGGTTCTGGAAAAGAAAGTGAAGTTTGACCACTACAAGAAAGGCTATAACTGGGAGGAGAGGAGGCAAGTCCTGAAATACAATGAGCTCTGATTTGTTGTGTGTTTCTCCCTCTGCTGTCTGAATTTACCAGTACATGTGCAGTGCGTTACATTGTATCCAAACAATGAGGGCAACTCCCTCTGCTGGCTGAAATCATTATTACAGGTACAGTGTTACATGCAGGGTTATTAACTAAAGTGAGAATTCAAAGTGAATTTAAAATTTATAGCCCAAGTAGCCAAACAGGAAACTGACTGAGAATTTATCCAAGCTGGCTGTCTGACCCTAAATTTGAAAATCACTTTGAATTCTCACTTTACTAAATAGCCCTGATGCTACCCAGTATCTGTGCCTCTCTCCGCTCTCCGACGTCTGTTACAAATAGACATAAATATTCACTAACGTGAGAATTATTGGGAATTCAAAACAGGCCTAAATTGTCGAATTGGGAAATTTCTCCAAATCAATTATGTTTTCCTTTTGGCTATTTTAACCTTAAATTTTAAATTCACTTTGAATTCTCAGCAATTGGCACTTAAAGGAACACTATATCGTGAGGAATACAAATATATATTCCTAATGCTATAGAGCCCTAGTCACCGTTTAGGGGACAAGAGCCCCATTCTGTGGTGAATAAATGGTTAATTAACCATTTCTTTGCTTACCCTAATACAGCGCCGGGCTCCCTCGGCACTGGTGATCTCTCCTCCTCCATCGACGTCAGCTCCCGAGTGGAGCCAAATGCTCATGCATGGCCAGACGCACTCGCCCATTCAAACCCACCAGGGCCAGACTGGGGATACAAAGCAGCCCTGGAAAAAAAAATTGTGCCAGCCCCATAAGTCACTGCGCCATCTATTGTCGCGTGTAATATGTAAGGCTATGTCTTGCCAGGACAGATGATTGAGTAATATATATATATATATATATATATATATATATATATATTTCTTTTTCTAATATAAAATATTGGTCCTTTCAGGGTAAAACGTTTAATTATACAGTAAGCATACGCACATGCAGACACAGGCAATTTCACTGACATTTCAGTGACACACACAAGCTCATTGATACACACACACACAGCTTAATGTGGTGGTACTGGTGTCTATAGCATGTCCCTACAGGCTTTTCAACGTAAACACTGACTTTTCAGACAAAAGGCAGTGTTTACATTGCTTCAAAGTGACACTGCTAGTGACAGTCACTCAGACGGTCACTAGAGGTGCTTCCTGTGTTAGTGCCCTCCCGCCCTCGCGCGCTGCTGAATGAGACTGGCGCCGGAATATGACGTCATATTCCGGCGCCGGTCTCATTCAGCTGCATGCTGGGGAGCAGAGCCAGCGCAGCTCGCGCAGCTCCCTCAGCGGCCGCCAGGACAAGTCCGCCAGCGGCCGCCAAAAGACCTCCCCAGCGGCCAGGGGAGGGCTGGCAGCCTTAGGCCTGGGGGGCAAAACCAGTCAAGTAGACTGGTGCACCTGCCCAGGATCAGAGCCGGTGCAAGGATTTTTGCCGCCCTAGACAAAATAAAAATTTGCTGCCCCCACATGTCACATCACAATGCCCCACCCATATGACCTGCCATATGAACTAACGCCAGTGCTGCACACAGTGTGTGTTTACATTAAAAAGCCTGCAAGGACCAGCTATAGACACCAGAACCACTTCATTAAGCTATAGTGTCCCTTTAATGTGAGGTAAATTATAGATTAGTGTCACTAATAATATACTAGATTGCCTACTTACAAGCAGATGAGGATGATGATGGGCTGCAGTTTGGCTCCACTGGTCTGGTGTAGAACAGGATCTCTGGAGGCTGTTTGCAACTGTGGTCACAAAATTCAATGTTCTGGGAGAATTGGAAGCAGCTCAATTTTTTGGGGGCCCCTTACACAGCTCAAGGTCTGGGCCCCAGGGCCTGACGGTGAGTATGCCCATAAGGCCCACTCATAAGTTCCACCCACCCATGAGTTCGCTCACAGGGAGTGGAGTGTGTAGGGGATGTGTTATGTGTTATTGTAGAGGATCTAATATGTGTGCTTATGGTATGTAGTGTTTAGGGTTACCAGTTTGTGCAGGTGATGCAGTGTGTTTGTGTGTAGTGGAAGCAGTGTGTATTTGTGTATAAGGGATGTATTATGTGTTTCTGGTTGTGTGTAAGGGATGCATTGTGTGAATCTGTGTTTGTATGCATAAGGGATGCAAGGTGTGTGTCTGTATGTGTGTGCATGAGATGCATTGTGTTTCTGTGTGTATGTAAGAAAAGAAGTGTGTGTTTGCATGCGTGTGTACGGGTTTGCATTGTCTGTTTCTGTGTATGTGTGCAAAGGATGCATTGTCTTTGTGTGTAAGGGTTGCATTGTGTGTGTGTGTGTGTAATGGATGCATTGTGTGTTTCTCTGTGTGTAAGGGAAGCATGTTGTGCTTCTGTGTATGTATAGGGGATGCATTGTGTGTGTGTGCGCGCGTAGTGTGAAAGAGCTCCCTGTCTTGGCCCTTGTCCTATAGAGCTGCCCCTTCTTCTTATTCCCCCCCCTCCCCTCTTCTTATTCCCCTCCCTACCCTCTTCTTATTCCCACCCTCTTTTTCCCCCCTCCCCTCTTCTTATTCCCCTCCCTCCCCTCTTCTTATTCCCCTCCCTCCCCTCTTCTTATTCCCCTCCCTCCCCTCTTCTTATTCCCCCCTCCCCTCATCTTATTCCCTCCTCCCCTCTTCTTATTCCCTCATCTTATTCCCCCCTCCCCTCTTCTTATCCCTCCCTCCCTCTTCTTATCCCTCCCTCCCTCTTCTTATTCCCCCCCCTTCTTATTCCCCTCCCCTCATCTTATTCCCCCCCTCCCCTCATCTTATTCCCCTCCCTCCCCTCATCTTATTCCTCCCCCTCCCCTCTTTTTATTCCCTCCCTCCCCTCTTCTTATCCCTCCCTCCCCTCTTCTTATCCCTCCCTCCCCTCATCTTATCCCTCCCTCCCCTCTTTTTATTCCCTCCCCTCTTGTCCCCCTCCCTCTTCTTGTTCCCTCCTCTTTTTGTTCCCCCTCCCTCTTCTTGTCCCTCCCTCCCTCTTCTTGTTCCCCCTCCCCTCTTTTTATTCCCCCCTCTTTTTATTCCCCCCTCTTTTTTCCCCCTCCCCTCTTCTTATTCCCCCCTCCTCCCTCTCTTCTTACCCCTCCTGTAGGCGTGGCCGAGGCTGCACTCCGGTCCGCGGTGGCCGCGGCGAGTGATAGGAAGGTGCACACTGAGTGTGCACTTCCTGTCAGTCCGGCCAGTTAGTAACAGGAAACTCCAGCGGAACAGGAGTTTCTGTTTCCTGTAACCGGCCGGACTGACAGGAAGGTGCACACCGAGTGTGCACCTTCCTATCACTCCGGCCGGCCGGCCACCGCGGACCGGAGTGCAGCTCGGCCACGCTACAGGGGAGAAGCTGCAGCCGCCTGACCGCTCTTCACAGAGCGCTCAGGCGGCTGCAGTACTTAAAGGGCCGGCCCCAGGTGCCGACGGCCCACCGGGAAATTTCCCGGTATCCCGGTGGGCCAGTCCGGCCCTGAAACCCGCCCATAGGAAAGCAGTACTCAATGCTTTCCTATGGGGATCTTTTTGGACACGGGACTCCGTGAGGATGTCCAGCGTCAAATAAGTGTGATTTACTCCGTGTAAATCGTGGAAGTGGCCTCTAGTGGCTGTCAGGAAGACAGCTACTGGAGGCTGGATTAACCCTGTAATGTAAACATAGCAGTTTTTCTTTTCAGCTGCAGGGTTAAAACTAGGGGGACCTGGCACCCAGACCACTTCATTGAGTGGTCCTTTAAGTGTAGAACCATGAGAGTTACACAGTAGTCAGACATTATTTGTGTCCCCCTCTGCTTTTCTGAATCCACTAAACCTACAGTATTGCGAAAAGAAATACACAAAGAAACGAGCGAAGTGCTACCATAAAGGCTGTTTGATTTGGACGAGAGGGGTAATCTCCAATAGAACTATCAGGACATTCTCATGGCAATTACTTTTTTTTTCTTTGACATGCTTTTACAATGATTCACATTTATACATTTCTCCTGATGTTTTGGAGAATCTGTACAATCCTTACAATTCTCCAGTTGTGGGGATGGTTTACCATTCTTTAATGCCCTCATGTAATATTAGGCAGCATATGCTAAATAGCTGTATCTATCATTAGTTAATACCGGTTGGAGCTTTTATGCTACAAAATGTAATTACTCACTCCAAAACTTTTTAATATCTTCTGATAGATTTAAAGGCCTTCCTTCCACAAGACTAATATGTGATGCCTCACTTTCTATGCTAGACAGTAAATCTTACTACCTGTAGCTGTCTCGCTAAAAAGTGTAGTCTGCCACATCTAGATGTAAAGCGAAAAATAGAAGTTGATAACTGCAAACTCTAGATAGATAGACAGACACACAGACAGACACGCAGGCAGACAGATAGATAGATAGACAGACACACAGACAGACACGCGGACAGATAGATAGGTAGACAGACACACAGACAGACACGCAGGCAGACAGATAGATAGATAGACAGACACACAGACAGACACGCGGACAGATAGATAGGTAGACAGACAGATAGATAAATAGATATTCCTGGTGTATCTGTAAACTGATTTCCGTGTCGGTATTTTTTAGCTGCAAACATCTACTAGCATGTTAGCATCAGCCATGAGAAAGTGTAAATGTATGTGAGGTGTGAAAAATAAATTTAAACTTAGGAACCCACACTCTTTATCTGGAAATGAGAGCCTCTGTCTTAGCTTCCAGTCAGTTATTGATATAAAAGAAGCATTTGCACCTGGCAGTCAGAATAGTGACAGAGATACGAGGAGAAACTAAAGCAGGGATACTGACTGAAGAGAGAATTTAAACAGATTGTTAGATTTAAGGTAAATATAGCAATGCAATGCCAGCAATGCCTTCAGTTCGACTACCCTGGTTTTACATTTTAGTTCACTATGAATTCTCACTTTAGCAAATCACCCAAATAGTGTTCTAATGGTGTTCCTTTATTTTGGTCTCTTATCCGTTATATAGTTTAGACTGGTGTAAAAAAGAGAATCAAATCAAAACACATTTCTGGAGGAAAAATGGACAGAAAGATATACGCATCTGTATTGCCGCACAAAAAATGGCGTATGTTAAAACGTGACGGAATGGGAGTAAGACAAGCATCAAATAGAAAAATTCAACAAACTTAGTAAATATCTCCAAGAAAGTGCCAAGAAAAACAAGGAAATGCAGCGTGTCAAATTTGCAACAAAAAATCTCCACCAGTGTTTCTGTGTGTCCTCCTTTAATTTGATAAGTGCCCTGGCTATGCCAGGAGTGAACTACATTGCGATATCAATTGCTAAATCTGTAATATATGTTTACAAGGAAATAGAACATCTGATTAAAAAGGCTAACATAAGTTATAGAGTGTTTGCAATACTTTATCCAATGATGTCATTTCCAGAGAAGTGAAGTTTAGCTGCCAAGTGTTGAGTGTTGTGTGTGGTGGCTGAATTGTGAGTGTGTGTGTGTTTTTGTGTGTGTGTGTAGGTCTTAATGTGTGGCTTAAGGTTGTGTGTATATTGGCTGAGTGTTGTGTGTGAGACTTTGTGTTGTGCTGAGGGCTGAGTGTGTCTGTGTGTGTGCTGGTTAAGTGTTCAGTATTGTGGCTGAATTATGAGTGTGTGTGGGGAGGTCTGAGTGTGACCGAAGGTTGTGTGTACATTGGCTGAGTGTTGTGCTGAGGGCTGAGTGCATCTGTGTGTGTGCTGGTTAAGTGTTGAGTATGATGGCTGAATTGTGAGTGTGTGTGGCTGAAGGTTTGTGTGTATATTGGCTGAGTGTTGTGTGTGAGACTTTGTGTTGTGCTGAGGGCTGAGTGTGTCTGTGTGTGTGCTGGTTGGCCCTAGCGAAATTTCACAGGCTTATTTATTGATGTGTGAATGGTCTAGAATACAAAAATTAATTTTAAATCTGAGGCCAAAATAGCCCAACTTAAAACATAAATAATATGGGAATACTTCACATTTGGCTATTTTAGCTTATAATGTCATATTCAGAGTGAAGATGTGACGGAATTAAAATAAAAATACTTGATATAATCTTCAGTTAGATTAAACACAAATCCTTAACATAAATCTTGCTCTGCTCATAAATGGGAAACCCAGCAAAGTAGTAGTATGTATGTTATAAAATGTATAAATATTTAATAGCCCATTGATATAGAGACATAAAAGGCAGTAATCCATAAAGGTTTTTTTTTTACCACAGGGGCATATTATTTACAGCCTGTGGGTAGGTACTTTGTATCCCAGTCAGTCACTTTGTATCCTAATCGCTGGGATTTTTATATCCCATTTATCCATGGACTTTGTATTTTAGTAGGTGGGCATTTTGTACCCCAATCAGATTAGGGCGGCTATTATTGGAGGCAATTTGTACCCCAGGGGTTTAGGCAATCCGTATCCTAGGCGATTGGGCACTTTGTAATCCAGGCCCCCTGTGTCCCGGTAGGTGGGGGGTCTTTATATGCCAATGGGCAGACACTTTCCATCCAGGTACAGTTTGTTTCCCAGTGAAGTGTGCAAGTTGTGTAATTGTTGGCGAGCACTCACAAACCTTGTTCCGTGTAATTCAAGCTACCAAGCAACAACCCATCTACTAATGAACATATCAGAAAGTTGACAGAACATATTTTTTTTCCTCTTATATTTATTTCAATTATTACAAAAAAATATATTTTTTAAAGTATTACTCGATAAAATCATACTTAATTCTTCATCGTTCCTTATAACTATTTTAGTGTACTTTAACCTCCCTATAATTCTTCCTATTGATTCCTACATCTCTCCTTATAACGCTCATATTGATCCATATAATGCTCTCTGTATCTTCTCTTCTTCCTCCAAGAAACCTCCAAACAACTCCTCTTCTAACTCTAAATAACCATTCCTATAACCCTTCCATTACCTCATATAGCTTCTTCCTTATAACTCTTTATATTGATCCATAAAACCCTCCCTATAACCCTTCCTATACTGTAAACCTATCTATAATACCTTTATTGTAAACCTACCTATAACACCTCTATCGTAAACCTCTCTATAACACCTTTATTGTAAACCTACCTATAACACCTCTATCGTAAACCTCTCTATAACACCTTTATTGTAAACCTACCTATAACACCTCTATCGTAAACCTCAATAGAACACACCATAATGTTTTATGCAAACCTTCCTATAACTCCCTCTGTTACTCCATATATATCATTTCCCTATAACTACACCTTTTAACCCTCCACATAAGTCCTCTGATTGTTCCTGATAACTCCTTCTATTGCTGGTACAGCCCAGTCTATAAATCACTATGTTACACTATAAACATCCAATTCCATGCAACCTTTATCAACGGTTTTCCTATTGCCCAATATGATCCCAATTCCACCATCTATGATTGAAAATCATCTCCCTGAACCTCAATCTCAGTGACCCAGTATAACCTATAACCTTCATATACCTCCATCTATATATATATATATATTTCCAAATCCCAAAGTCATGATTTACATTCTCGTAGGAAGACTTTGCTGTTGTGAGAAGTAACTATAATTAGTGTTCGGTGTCGGATAATTTTATTGTTAAAAAATGCAGTTGTAATTTGGTTGATTCGTTTCATGTTCAATTTAAAGAATGACATTATCGTTGTGTTTTGTGTTTGTGTAAAGAATGCCGCTCAGATCTGGCGATCCATCCAGACACAGTAATTAGCAGCGTTGGAGTCTGTGATATAATCAGGTAAAGTAAGAGGTCAGGCAGAGAAGGCTCAGAGTCACATGCTGAGTACCAGCGGTTATGGTGAGTTTGGCTGAGCTGGTAAGTTGTCATCCGGTCATTCTACCTTACGGAAGGTCTGTTTGCTTAACACGTCTCTTGCTGTTAGCTCCTGAGAAGAAATTAGAAAAACAGAAAAAATGTGAGACCATGGAGATGTAGAAACAAATAATTAAAACCGATATTAGGATGAGGCTGGATGGGCACCTGGGAAGGGATTTGTTGAAGATGAAGCAAGAATAGCTGCAGTGGCGTAACTAAGAGGGTTGCAACAGTCACTATGGCGATCGGGCCCTGGAGTTCCACCAGTCGAGAGGGGATCAGGCCTGTCATCTTCTACCACCCCTTGCAGTATTATTATTTAGCTTATGGCTATTTTAGTAATATGTTAAATACCTTTTAAAGTTTGTGAGTGCGCGCTTGGTGAATGCTCCATCGCCGTCTTGGAGCACATTCACTGAGTAACAGCACTGCTGCCAAGTTGCCATTACTACTTTTCACCCTCTTTTCTTCTATTTTCATATTCCTCTTCTCTCTATCCTCTATCTTCTTTTTTTTGCCTGAACAGGGCTCCGCAATGCATTGTGTGACACAGGCAACTTTACACACTCCGTATTTATTCCATGTGTTTTCTGCAAGTTTTGTTCTTTTTTTATGCAGCTGCTATTTGTTGTATTGTTGGGGGGTTATATTTTGCACTTGTTTTCGTGCTGTATATAATTGTCGGGCAATGTTTTCATGTTTCGGTGTTTCCAATATTGTGTGCTATATCTGCTGTATGTTTTCTTAGACTCTTTTTCAAAATAAAGAATTAAAAAAATAATAATAATAAGCACAGCCCCACATCCACACACAATCACACCCAGCCAACAATAAAACACACTCAGCCAACCTCAAACACATTCACACTCAGCCATTTGCCAACCACAATCTGTCAACCTCACACACATTCACACTATGTCAACCACCGCACAGTCACTAGGCTAACCCCTCACACAATTACCATGGGGGGGAGGGGGAGGGAAGGGGCGGCAAAGAGGAGAAGAGGAGAAGGGAGCAGAGGAGAGGATTGAAAAGTTGTTGTTTTTAGAGCTTTTTTGATTCTTGCACCAAAGCCCTACAGTTTCTAGTTATGCCCTGTATATGGTTGTGTTGTCTGGTTACATTGTGTGAGTCTGTGGATGGTGTCCCTGCATGGATAGATAGCCTTGGCTTATAAAGTAGATGGGAGGCTTGATGATGAAATAATTTGGTGGATAGCATAGGTAGATGGGTGGATACAGTACCTGGAGGAAGGCTCACCTTGGTGGCTAGAATAGTTAGATGGGTCAATGCAGTGACTGGGTGTACACAGAACATGGGTGGACAGAACAGGTGGGTAGCTGGATGGGCAGAGTGGGTGATTAGATAAGGTTATGAGATTATTGTAAATAAAAGTTTAGTAAATAGACAAGTTAGGGGCTGGGTGGATGAGGTAATTAATATAAAGAATAGATGGATCGCAGGGTGGACATAGCAGCAGGTTAGACACAGTATGTGGCTGGATAGAGTAGTAAAGTGAATCTCTACTCACCGTAACAGCTTCAGCTCATTGAACTGGTTATAGTTTTTGCAATCACCTGCCTCCATCCTTCCATTCAGTATTAAACATTTTTTAAAAAATATTCTAATGCTAAACGAGAGTCCCCAGGAGTCCATGCCCTCTCTGCTGCTTGGGCTAATGGGGGAGCATTACCCTGAGCAGCATTGGGTGGCTGTGATTGGCTGAGAGTGCCAGGTCAACACTTTCAGTCTAACACAGCCATCCACTGGAGGTACGAATTGGTACGGCTAGAGGTATGGGCCAAGCTGTGGGTGGCCAGGGAACCTTATTTTGTGTTAATCTGCTCAAAATGATTTAACACTGATTGGAGGTACAGTTCCATTGGGCTCAAAGCACTATAACCAATTCAATGAGATAAAATGGTGATAGTGCCTACAGCGTCCCTTTAAGTGACTCGGTCATTTCAGTAGCTAAGTGGATAGAGTTGACGTGTATATAGGATAATGAAGTTGTATACAGAAGCTTCCAATTTGCTTTAAAATCAGAGAAAGGATTTTATGTCATTTTATTTTTCATTTTTATTTATTTATTTATTGCATTTTTAATGCATTATCTCCGTAATGCATTAATATGCTACATCTTGGAATATCTATTTAATGGGTAGTGTCTTCTTTAAATAAAAAAAAAAAAAGAATTCAGAAGCAGTGATGTGTGATATCCTGATTGTATTAGGACTATTTTCATCCTGAATTAAATTGTTACTATGTTTGTCAAACTAATTGCATTTATTTTCATTTACTGCTTTAGAACCCTACATTTTAGAGGAAGCTTGTAATTAGAACAGCAGGGAAAAACAAGAAAAATGGAACGCTAAGTGGACAAATTGAAATCAAAGCTGTATTCTGATTGGCTACTTGTGCTCTTCAATATATTTCAAGACCTCTGATTGTGTTCTTTACAATAAACCAAGCTTACATTAAGAGAATACATTCCATCGCAACATTGGTTTAACCAATTTCAAGCAAATCTATAGAATAGAAAGTTATTTCACAAGTAATTTTTTTTACCTTTGTTATTTAACATACTTGCCAATTTTATCTAATTTCCAACCTTGGCCTCTGTGACGAACTGAGCCTCGTCACGTGTTCTTTGGAGGGCCTGCTGGTCAGCCTCTTACCAAAAGACTATGGGCCCTTTAAAAAAAAAACTATGTGAACAGACTTCGTGGGATTGTATATTTGGTTCAGGAACCGAACAGCCGCACAAACCGGAGACCACCCTGGAGCTTGTTAAGCCTAATTTCCACCGCAGTGTTCTAAGTGTTTATCTGGGTGGCCGCATTTCCTATGAATGACCACAGGGTGGCGGCCATCTTGCTAGCATGAAAACATTGTCGAGTTCATGGAACTACTTATCTCCCAGGCATAGGGGAGGGATTGACCTATTTTGTATGGGAGTGTCCTGGACCTGAGAGTCAATGTAATCGTGTATATGTTTTTACTGTAGTCTACTCTCAGGTCCAGGGGGAAGTGCTCCTTGCATGGGGACCTGCATATAAGGCCAGTTGTGGCTGCCATTTTACCCTTCATGAAGTCTAGGTTCGTGTTTGGGGGATTGGAGAGCAATATTCACTCTGGGGATTGCTATAATCACTATACTCCCTTGGATCACAACAATTGTTCTTGTAAGAGCAGCCTGCTTCGTTCTCTAGACTAGGAGAGGTCTACCCACTGGAAGCTGGATCCTGGTCTTGGGTCCAGAGTGGGTGAAGGACAGCGAGACCCCAACAAAGCTGCGGCGGTTTGTGGGGTTTGCGGTGATTATAGTGTCCGGTGCGGTGCTTATAGTACTCAAGGATTACTAGGAAGCAGCGATTGACGGTTGGGGTGCTAGGTAGTCCATCACAGCCTCGATTTAATATTTTTGGAAAAGCTTTTTTTTTCTTTTTTTTAAAATATTAAAATATCAATAAATAAATAATATATGTAAAAAATATATAAATTTATCTAAAAAAAATCAAACCTTTACAAAATTTAAATATTAGTCATACTATTAAATGATTTCAAAAGTTTATCCAAAAATATTTAACCATTTGAAAAGTTTATACAAAAACAGTAAATAAAAATGAGGCCCTTGTCAGTAAACGGCTGGCATAAGCAGCAGTAATTACAGAGCATTTTTCAGTCTTTTTGGTATTTTTTACTGGCTGACCACCAATAACGTTTGCTCACAAAGATACTAAGCACCTCCAGTTTAGACGCTAGTTGATAATACACAGAAACATACACAGAAACCACACCTTGCCGGCAAAAAAAAAAAGTCTCACCCGGAGTGCGTACTTTTGATTGGCCTTAACAGGAGATGGCGACGATGTATACAATGTGATAAACTGGATTTTCGCTGTTGTTAACTTCTTTACACCAGGTAAGACAGCAATTAGAGTCACAGTTCGCAGTTCCCATATAGGATAATTCTGCATTAAGCACTGACAGCCACTAGAGGCAGTCTTAGTCCTGCAATGTAATCATTTATATTGCAGGACTAAGTGGGATATGAATAGTGCACCCAGACCACTTCAATGAGCTGAAGTGGTCTGGGTGCCTGTAGTGTCCCTTTAACAACTATACTGTAACACTATGTTTTGTTGTATTGACAAAGGCTACAATTATTCTGGAAAGGAGATACTATCTCCTAGTCTCAATGTCCCACGATGTATAGCAGGTGGTAGCTATAGATTCCGATTTCTTTAAAGTGACAGAACATGCTTGGGAAACGAATTACTAGAAACCAATCTAATTGCACTAAGCATCCCGGAAGACTTTTAAAATGCATGAAAACCACAATGCTTCTTGCTTTGCTTTATTGATGATTTTCTTTCTAGTCCTCTGTACGAGCTTGAAAAACTGTCTGAGACTTATCCTTCTGGTGACCTTCTAACTTTACACGCTGGCAATCTGTGAAAATGGATCTGCACAAGTTCGGTCCTCATGGGCATTGTGACTATCTGTGGGTAGGATTTTCTTTTCATGCGTTCAGTTTATCCAAGCATTAGGAAATCAGCGAGAAGTATCACTGATTCCCTGGCATATTTCCAGTTAAAGCACCATTCATGCACCATTTACACCTTTTAACGTAAGGTTAATTTGCTATCTAATTAATCTGCACATTTATTTGATGCACCTAGATAGACCAGCAATCTCATGTAGGAGGCTCAATGAGGATGCAGGGGGATTACACACGGTTGGGACTGGAGACAATCTGATGGAAGCTTGAGCACGGTGTTATATAGAGTTGTGGCTAGAATGCAGTCTAATGTAGGAGGGTATGGGGTGTCATTGTGTGTTATATAGAGTTGTGGGTAGAATGCAGTCTAATGTAGGAGGATATGGGGTGTCATTGTGTGTTATATAGAGCTGTGGCTAGAATGCAGTCTAATGTAGGAGGGTATTGGGTGTCATTGTGTGTTATATAGAGTTGTGGCTAGAATGCAGTCTAATGTAGGAGGGTATGGGGTGTCATTGTGTGTTATATAGAGCTGTGGCTAGAATGCAGTCTAATGTAGGAGGGTATTGGGTGTCATTGTGTGTTATATAGAGTTGTGGCTAGAATGCAGTCTAATGTAGGAGGGTATGGGGTGTCAGTGTGTGTTATATAGAGTTCTGGCTAGAATGCAGTCTAATGTAGGAGGGTATGGGGTGTCATTGTGTGTTATATAGAGCTGTGGCTAGAATGCAGTCTAATGTAGGAGGGTATGGGGTGTCATTGTGTGTTATATAGAGTTGTGGCTAGAATGCAGTCTAATGTAGGAGGGTATGGGGTGTCATTGTGTGTTATATAGAGTTGTAGCTAGAATGCAGTCTAATGTAGGAGGGTATGGGGTGTCATTGTGTGTTATATAGAGTTGTGTGGGAATGCAGTCTAATGTAGGAGGGTATGGGGTGTCATTGTGTGTTATATAGAGTTGTGGCTAGAATGCAGTCTAATGTAGGAGGGTATTGGGTGTCATTGTGTGTTATATAGAGTTGTGGCTAGAATGCAGTCTAATGTAGGAGTGTATGGGGTGTCATTGTGTGTTATATAGAGTTGTGGCTAGAATGCAGTCTAATGTAGGAGGGTATTGGGTGTCATTGTGTGTTATATAGAGTTGTGGCTAGAATGCAGTCTAATGTATGAGGGTATTGGGTGTCATTGTGTGTTATATAGAGTTGTGGCTAGAATGCAGTCTAATGTAGGAGGGTATGGGGTGTCATTGTGTGTTATATAGAGTTGTGGCTAGAATGCAGTCTAATGTAGGAGGGTATGGGGTGTCATTGTGTGTTATATAGAGTTGTGGCTAGAATGCAGTCTAATGTAGGAGGGTATGGGGTGTCATTGTGTGTTATATAGAGCTGTGGCTAAAATGCAGTTTAATGTAGGAGGGTATGGGGTGTAATTGTGTGTTATATAGAGCTGTGGCTAGAATGCAGTCTAATGTAGGCGGGTATGGGGTGTCATTGTGTGTTATATAGAGCTGTGGCTAGAATGCAGTCTAATGTAGGAGGGTATGGGGTGTCATTGTGTGTTATATAGAGTTGTGGCTAGAATGCAGTCTAATGTAGGAGGGTATGGGGTGTCATTGTGTGTTATATAGAGCTGTGGCTAGAATGCAGTCTAATGTAGGAGGGTATCAGGTGTCATTGTGTGTTATATAGAGTTCTGGCTAGAATGCAGTCTAATGTAGGAGGGTATTGGGTGTCATTGTGTGTTATATAGAGCTGTGGCTAGAATGCAGTCTAATGTAGGAGGGTATGGGGTGTCATTGTGTGTTATATAGAGTTGTGGCTAGAATGCAGTCTAATGTAGGAGGGTATGGGGTGTCATTGTGTGTTATATAGAGCTGTGGCTAGAATGCAGTCTAATGTAGGAGGGTATCAGGTGTCATTGTGTGTTATATAGAGTTCTGGCTAGAATGCAGTCTAATGTAGGAGGGTATTGGGTGTCATTGTGTGTTATATAGAGCTGTGGCTAGAATGCAGTCTAATGTAGGAGGGTATCAGGTGTCATTGTGTGTTATATAGAGTTGTGGCTAGAATGCAGTCTAATGTAGGAGGGTATGGGGTGTCATTGTGTGTTATATAGAGCTGTGGCTAGAATGCAGTCTAATGTAGGAGGGTATCAGGTGTCATTGTGTGTTATATAGAGTTGTGGCTAGAATGCAGTCTAATGTAGGAGGGTATGGGGTGTCATTGTGTGTTATATAGAGCTGTGGCTAGAATGCAGTCTAATGTAGGAGGGTATGGGGTGTCATTGTTTGTTATATAGAGTTGTGGCTAGAATGCAGTCTAATGTAGGACGGTATGGGGTGTCATTGTGTGTTATATAGAGCTGTGGCTAGAATGCAGTCTAATGTAGGAGGGTATGGGGTGTCATTGTGTGTTATATAGAGCTGTGGCTAAAATGCAGTCTAATGTAGCAGGGTATGGGGTGTCATTGTGTGTTATATAGAGTTGTGGCTAGAATGCAGTCTAATGTAGGAGGGTATGGGGTGTCATTGTGTGTTATATAGAGCTGTGGCTAGAATGCAGTCTAATGTAGGATGGTATGGGGTGTCATTGTGTGTTATATAGAGCTGTGGCTAGAATGGTCTAATGTAGGAGGGTATGGGTGTCATTGTGTAAGTTATATAGAGTTGTGGCTAGAATGCAGTCTAATGTAGGAGGGTATGGGGTGTCATTGTGTGTTATATAGAGCTGTGGCTAGAATGCAGTCTAATGTAGGAGGGTATTGGGTGTCATTGTGTGTTATATAGAGTTGTGGCTAGAATGCAGTCTAATGTAGGAGGGTATGGGGTGTCATTGTGTGTTATATAGAGTTGTGGCTAGAATGCAGTCTAATGTATGAGGGTATTGGGTGTCATTGTGTGTTATATAGAGTTGTGGCTAGAATGCAGTCTAATGTAGGAGGGTATGGGGTGTCATTGTGTGTTATATAGAGTTGTGGCTAGAATGCAGTCTAATGTAGGAGGGTATGGGGTGTCATTGTGTGTTATATAGAGCTGTGGCTAGAATGCAGTCTAGGCTGGTATTGGTGTTACTAGTTGATAAATAGGAATTAGGAGATTGTGAGGTATTAGGGCAGTAGTTCCAAAAACCTCTAAACAGACTTGAGGCACTCTGTACCATCACACGCTGGTATAAAGTGTCTTAAAGAATGAAATCTAGGAGAGGGTGTCATGTAGGTAATATGCTTAGTGTTTATTACAGTGGGGAGTAGGGTGCAGTCTGAGGTAAGGATTGGAGCAATCCGTAAAAAAACACTGCCACTATAATATAACCCCCGAGGATGTCAATCAGGCAGCACAAAACCCCTAGTACTGGGTTGTCAGGGCTAACCTAATATAAAAACAGAACCCACCTCACCAGGCTATGTATAAACTGATAACAGATGTGTTAGGGTATCAGTTTAAAGGGACAATAGAGGCACAGAAAACATTTATTGATCCGCACTCATAGGTAATTTCCCACAGTATCCATGAAAAAATCATGAAAAAATGCATATTTATAGACATAAAAGACAATAGATGCACCCAGACCCAGACCATCTCATTGAAGTGTTTTGGGTAAAGAGATCCTGTCCTCCATCGCTCTGCAAGGTAAACTACAGTCATTTCAGTAAAACTGCAAAGCTTACATTGCAGATCTGACTGCCTCTAGTGGATGTCTACCAGACAGCCACTAGAGGCGTTTCATGCGGTTTCATAGAGTTTGACTCTTCTAAACGACCCTAAACGTCCTCACACTTTGCTTGAGGGCATGCAATATCTTCACAATCCCCACAAGAAAGCATTGAGTCAATTCTGTGCTATAATGCTCATTTAATGAGCAGTTCTGATCTTCTTATGCAATGTCTGGATAAACCACTTAGCCCATAATCTCTGCTGAATTGTTGATTATGGGATACAATCAGTCCCCATAGACCAGAATAAAATGCTCCTGATTGAAGTATCTCATCCTCGTGGGAAGGTTCTGCCTGTCCAATAAGCAAAGTACTAAGGTATTCATTGGTTTGTTTTTACATTTTATGTTTATTTTTGTGCATAGTTTTTAATGAATTATCTATAATAATTCAAATATACAACCAAATTGTACTAGACTACTAGAGGTTGTCTTATTAGATGCTATAGATATTTTTTAGAAAAATCCTGGATATCTTTTTGGAAACATATGAAATATTCAAGGATATAATTAACATGCGAGAAATCTGATTGCCATTATGGAGTTGACAAATATTCCATTCTCCCTTTGTGATATAATTGGAAATAGCTTCAAATTGGGGGTGGTTGCCAAAAGATGGGTTTTAGAGGTCTTTTCTAAACCTATATTACTATGTAACTATGCAATCCTTCATAGAGGGTAAAGAGAATAGATGTCATTGAGATGGTTCTCACCACATGGAGCAAATCTCCATCTATCCACTGTTTCCAGCCACGGTTTGGTACTTCTCCTTTTTGTACACAGACTAGCTTTTCCTTTTCCCAAAACACAGTTGTCTGTGGGAGAGAAACAGTATACAAAACAATGAGATGAGGTAAAAACAGATGACAGACAGAAAACGAGGAGAAGTTATCTCATACTCTCAATACTCAAGAAGTGGACAGTGAGGAGATATCTCGGTGTCTGGACTTTTTTTGTGTCCTATAACATCCATCATCCATGTGTGACTGTAAAACCATGCTAGGTACCTGGTGGAAATCCTGCTTCTTCGTCAACTTAACCTGAGCTACGTCAGGCAAAAATGCAGTTTGTACACTTACCTTGCAAGTCCTACCATCAATGACACTCAGATCTTCTTCAAACTCTTCCCCCAATGTGAAGTCCATGATGTAATTTCGGAAGGTGCTAAGTGTTCGTATGATCATGTGATTGCCATCCACCACAAACTCTTTTTCTGGACGTAGAAGAAGGACTATCTTCCTTAGAGCTATGTTTATATCTAGGCAGCAAGAAATAGGGACATTGATAAAAAAAAAACCACATTTACTTATTCTTGAATCACAGAGTTCCCAATATTCCACATTCATTCTTTACTCAATCGCATAGACTTTAACATGTCACATCTCTTCATTACTCAATCTCAGGATCCCCAAAATGTCACTTTGGTTCGTTACACAGGTTCCCAAATATATCACATTGATAAAATACAGATAAATGGACAAGGTTTCAATGTTTCCGTAATGAAGTAGAAATGATGTCTGCAGACACTTAATGTGGGGGGAAACCCTCAATATCCACTAGACTTGAAAATTAGTTTTTAGAAGAATCGCAATTCGGACAAAAGCTGGCTATTTCGTTCATTCATCCAAATTCCGAATGGCACAATGGAAGAATGAACTAATGAAAGAATCGCACAAAACAAATTTCTTCCCTAATTTGGTACTGTTAAATATGGCAATCCCACATAGGAGTACCATATTAGGGACTTTTCTACTCATCTAAACCACTGAAAAATCGCGGCATTCCTTTCATCCTAATGAAAACTTCAAAACCAAACTATTGGACGAGTTTCGTCAGAAGCTATTTGACTAATGGACGAATTTCCTTTCGGACAGAACAACATTTATTTTCCTCCAAATTAATTTCAGTCTAATTTAAGTCTCATATACACACACAAAATAGAAAACAATAATAAAATATAATATATGTAATATATGATACATTGACACATTACACTAACATTTCATGCTGATCCGTTACTCAATCTCACGGTCCCCAACATGTCATATTGCCTCATTACTCTCACGGTCCAAAAGACTTCGTAAAGGCTTGTTTGTCAATCTTAAGTAGCCGTCATGCCCCATTTATGTCATCGTTGCTGGATCCTCCATTTGTGAAATTAGACCGTCTAATACTGTGTCTGCCCCTCTTGGGTGAATGCATTACACTGGTCACTACATACTCCTAAGGACTTGTCTGCCCCCTTAGGTTAGCAACTTACTTATTGCTTTCAGATATTCCTCCATATTTTCCTGAGACACGAGAGCATAGCGACCATTCAGATCTGTCATTGTGGCACCTTGACCTTCGTTCTTCACTCACTTTAGGCAATGTCCAATGTGTGTGGGTCTCACTTACACTCACATTAACTCTACTCTTTCTAACTCATTATCTGACCTATCTGTCCTTTGTAAATCCCACCATAAGTCTCTTATTTCTATGAAAGTATTTATATATGGAGAAAATTATTCTCTTCCACACACCTAACTCTCTCAATATATCTGCCTGTTTGTCTCACTCTCTGTCTGTCTCACTATATCACTCCATCTCTGTCTGTCACTCTGTTTCTCCCAATCGCTATCTCTCTCTCTGTAATGTTTGGTAATCCCTATTATGCCTCTGTCAGGCCTGAAATATAATCTCAGATTATACTAAAAGGGAATAACCGCATTAACCCTACGTTTCCTGGACAGCACTTTACCATTTTTGTGTCTGTGTACACAGAATATCTTAACTCTAATATATATAAATATAGAAAATGAAGGCATTCAAATGAAAAATGATTGCGATGTATTAAAAAATAAATTATACACCTGTGTCTGTTTTGTGGAAGAGCTCTCTATCATGTTGAATAAAAAATAATAATTTTATAATAAATGTTTCTTTAGAGTTAATATATTCCTCGGCGGATATAATAAGATTAGAAAATAATATTAAATAATCAATTGTAATGTTTAAAGCAGAGGTCTCTCCGCTATTATATGTACATGTAGGAAGACAGTGTAGGGTAGGTTAACTTAGACTGAAGAGAGAGTAAGTGAAGGGGGGTGAGCATTATGGGGGGGGGATTTCTAGTGATTATGCAGTTATTTGATATGTTTTACTGATAAGATAAAATATCTGTCAGGATAATAAATCCTAGCATAAACATAGCATTGGAGAACCTTACTTCTCAATTCTCATATCAAAAACCTAATGAAATAGGGAGAAAGGGGATGATACTGCAATGGGGGACGGGAGGGGCCCCTACAAGATTAATACTGACTAACATAATATTGCAAGTAAATATAGCACAACCTGCTGGTGTTTAACTAATGAGTTAACACAATATACGCTGGCATTTTATAAATAATGACCTAGTGCTGCGTGCTGACTCCTAACCAGTATATCCCATGCTACCTGCAGGATTTACCATAAAGCAACCCTAGGCAGCCACATTGGGCCCAGGGTTGGACAGGGAACCCAGAATCATAATATCCTTGGCCCCATTAACCATCCTTATGTGATGAATGCAGGGGACGGGGGCATCAAACTGGTAACTTGCCAGTGCTAGGGCTCTTAAAGGAACACACAGTGAACCACATCAAAATTAAGTTGTTATGGTGCCAGGAGTTCCCTGGCACTTTTTTACCTTTAAGGGTTAAACACGTTGTGAACGGGTTGGCAGGGACACCACTGATTGGCTTAGACCAGTCTGCTGATGATCTAAGCTAATCATTATCTTCCCATTCATAAAAATAGATTTCAAAGGGTATGTACACAAGGTAGAGGTGGTCTTTAATGTTTTATTCAGTGCTGTCATTTCCCATTTAATTACCCATTGTTTATATTTAAATAATGAATGAATATTAGAGATAACCTGGTATTGGTTATTGTGGAAAAAAAATAAAAAATTGATTTAAGAAGATTTTTTGTGTAATTTTTATTTTTATTTTATTTTTTATTGCGTATGTATGTGTTTTGTGTGCATGTGAATTGTTGGGGCCAAATAGACAAACTAGAAATATAGCCGACATGAAGAAGGTTTCCTGTTGGACTATTTGGCCTAAAATTTTAAAATCACTTTGAATTCCTGACAAGTGGTGACAATTCCAGGATTTTGTAAATGATCCTGTGTGTTTATGCATTTGTCTGATTTGTAGGTATGACTGTATTATGAAGGTGCAGGTATGCATGATAACCAACAAAGTGAGTTATGAAACTGGAACAGGGTGGGTAAGTCTATGGGGTAAATGGTAATGCCCAAAAATAAGGGACACATAGGCCTATATTGAATGCATGCCAGCTGACCATCGGTCACAAACCAGCCCGATCCATGGCATCACATGCACAGAGCACTGTTAGCGCGTTCTGCCCATGAGGTGAAAGAGCTTGTGTTCCGTTTGCTGCGGATAATGCTGTGGTGTTTCCAGGTGTGGAAAACAAGGAGGATGAGACAGACAGGTCCTACCAAACCTGGGACAGTTGAGGCTTATGCATTTGCCTAAATATTTATCTGTATCTGTGTGTTCCTGTATATTGATGTCCATTTAACTGCTCTGGGTGGTGAGTATCTCCCTATCTGTGTATTCCAGTTTGTGTGTTTGAATTATGTGATCGTGTATGTGACTGGCGTCTAGATAGATATCTATACTGTACCTGTGTGTGCCTAGATTTATTTGTATTTGTTCCTGTATGTGTTTATACTTGGGCGGGCAGGCGGGGTGTTCTTGTGTATTCGCGTACTTTAAAACCGTGCATCTCATGTGCTCCTCGGTGAAAAAGAACTTGGGATTAGTGAATTATTCCTTTTTCTCTGTCTGATCCTAATCCCTCTACAACCTCTTGCTGCTCCCAGGATCTGGTTACTGAGAAACACACAGGAATTATACAGTGTTATGTAATCACATGCACCTGTCTAATTTATTACCACCCTATAACTGTATATAACACATAGATCCACCCTATACCTGTATATAACACATAGATCCATCCTATACCTGTATGTAACATCTAGATTCTCCCATTATCTGTCTATATATCTATCTATCTATATGTCTGTCTGCCTGTCTGTCTGTCTCTGTCTGTCTGTCTATCTACCTGTTTTTGAGCTCCTGTACTCTGGCTGAATACCTCCGCCATGTCAGCTTCCTTGTTGCTACTAGGGACTCTGGAGCACTTTAGACCAAGTTGCAGAAGCTTGACTGGGGTCTCTGAGGACCTCTGCCACCGCACCAGGCCGCAGCAGTTATACCTTTTTTTTCCAATTGTATACTGTGATGCCTTTTTTTTAGGTGTTTTATTCTTTTTAGATGTTTTAAGAATATCCCATTTTTTAAATAGGTGCAATAATATGTCTCTCTTTCTTTCCCCTAGTGAGCTTTTATGCTTGAGATTTTTTTTAGAGATTTCTTTCAGAATATATAACTTTGGTGATACATAACAATAAGTCTGGATTGTTTTTTTTATGTAATTTATATTGCTTGTTACTAATTTAAATTTTTTTAGCTTTTAAAGAAAATTTGCCCTATGCGTTATTTAGGCAATATGCCACTACTAGTATTTAGGTGTGTTAATGTGTATTTGACCAATGGACCTGAGAGGAGACTTAAAGGAACACTATAGGGTCAGCAGCACAAACATGTATTCCTGACTCTATAGTGTAAAACCACCATCTAGCCCCCTGGGCCCCTCATGCCTCCCTAAATATAGCAAAATTGTACTTGTATTCAAGCCTGAAGCTGCTGGATCTGCTCTGTCTGCCTCAGACCAGCAAGCAGTCTGCTGACATCATCAGAAGTGGTAGCCTGATCCAATCACAGTGCTTCTCCATAGGATTGGCTGAGACTGACAAGGAGGCAGATCAGGGGCAGAGCCAGCACAATTCAACCACAGCCCTGGCCAATCAGCATCTCCTCATAGAGATGAATTGAATCAATGAAGTTCAGTGTCTGCATGCAGAGGAAGGAGACACTGAATGTTTGGATGCATTTTAGGCAGCCATGACCCAGGAAGGATCTCTAAGTGCCATCTGAGGAGTGGCCAGTGAAGTTATAACTAGGCTGTAATATAAACACTGCATTTTCTCTGAAAAGACAATGTTTACAGCAAAATCCTGAAGGCAATGATTCTACTCACCAGAACAAATTCAATAAGCTGTAGTTGTTCTGGTGACTATAGTGTCCCTTTAACACACGGATTTAGTCATTTATGCAAGGAAAGGCTTTACCAGTGGCCAATGATTATGTTTGTTGAAACTAACCTACCCAGGTGGGCGGACTTTAAATACAGACTGGCAGGAGATGAGGAAGCGATCTGAGGAAGCCGATAGGTGAACCGCGTCATCACGCACTTCCACGACACGTTGTCACGTGATCTGGACGCTAACCCCACCTACCTGAAGTGGCCTTGTGAGAGATCTGGAATATCTGAAGTTCTACAGTCGGTAGCGAACTGAATAGTGAAAAGACTCTACACAGCACACATTCGAAGGAAGAAGGTGGAGTGGAGACTTTCTTTTAAAGTGTTATGTGAATAAAGAATTACAACTGTACCCCTGGCTGGTGTCCTCTCCTGCATCATTGACCCTATTTGTGGTCTACACGCGCTGAAAGTTAGAGCAGGCTCATCTGGTCTCTATTTGTGAGTGCTTCTTTATATTTTACACTTGTAATTTTTTTTAAAAAGATTGCACTATGTTCTTTTTCTGTGTTTTTTATCTTTGAGTATTAGCTCGGGTGATACAGAGCTGCCTGCAATTTTTGTGTTTTATACAAACATTTTCACTTGAAGCACTTTGTCACATTGACACTTTGTATATTTATATGCACTTTAATATAATATCATTTTGCACTGTTTTATACAAAAATTTTAAGTTTTACAGAGACTGTGCACCTTATTTGTTATTTTAGATTTGAAGAGTGTATTTATGGGTAGAGATGTCCCGAACAGTTCGCCAGCGAATAGTTCCCAGCGAACATCGCATGTTCGCGTTTGCCACGGCGGGCGAACATATGCGATGTTCGGACCGCCCCCTATTCCATATCATTGAGTAAACTTTGACAACCCCCTCACCCGCCGCTCGGGGGTGGGGGTTGTCAAAGTTTACTCAATGATATGGGGGGGGACCTACTGTTCTCCCCCCGGCCCCCAACCCTGAGCGGTGGGTGGGGGCCCTAAAAAAAACAATAGGGGGGGAACTTCTGGCCCCCCCCTGGCCCCCAGCCCTGAGCGGCGGGTGGGGGCCCTAAATATTAAAAGGGGGGGGACCTAAGGCCTTCTGGCCCCCACCCCTGAGCGGTGGGTGGGGGCC